CGGCTGAAATGAGCTTCCTCGGAACGGTGGCTGGGCTCAGCCTTAGAGATAGGGTAAGGAGCTCGGACATCCGGAGGGAGCTCGGAGTAGAGCCGCTGCTCCTGCCTCCTGGGCGCCTACAGTTAGACGTGTTCTGGGCACGTCCCACTGGTAGGAGGTCCTGGAGTAGACCCAGAACACACTGGAGGGATTATGTATTTCATCTGGCGTGGGAACACCTTGGGGTCCCGCAGGAGGAGCTGGAAAGTGTGCCCCACGACCCGACTTCGGATAAGTGGTTGAAAATGGATGGACGGTAAAGCAAAGGCCACAAAACATGCTAAATATATGAATAATAAAATACATAGCAAAAGACTAATGATAATAATGGTGCACAGCTTACTTAAGACATTACTTCATGCTTTAAATATGTAACCTTTTCCTCTTACCCCTTAGGTTATATGCAGTAGGTAATACAAAACAAATCCACATAACTTGGAGCTCAAAGGACATTGCACTGCAGTGCGGTTATAAAGCCCCTCGCCCCTGTGCTGTAGACTGTTGCCATTGGATGTAGCATTCCACTTCTGGAGATATTCAGTATCTTCCGTGGACCGAACTACTCCTTGCCCTGAGTTCTTGCAAGCATTACAGGCCAACATGGTTTTGCCTCTTTTTCCTAGTGTCCCAGTGCAATAGCATGTGATCTAAAGGGCTAAATACAATGGCAAAGAGCAAAGCGAACCTGGAGCACTTTGTGTTGACAGGCACAGGTGAAGTGAACGGCACTGCAAACTTGAAGTGAACCAAACTCAGACCACCTAAATTAATTCATGGCTCCTATGCTGATATTAATAGTTTAAACCTGTGACTGTAAACACATATTTTCCATCATTTTATTCACTAAATAATTAGTCAAGAATGAAGAAAATAATCTGCAGACTGTTTAAAAATAATTAAAAGCAATTGTTAATTAAAGTTCTTATTACTTTAAAATGTGTGCAGAACTTCAGTCTCCTCGAAGTTGTTTCCATTTAACCTCAAAGCAACCTACATACCATGTTCTTTGTATGGGTATGTGACTTCCATTGCTCACTCTGTACAAACACGACTTGTTTGAATATCTGGCTGCTTTATTTGCATTCTTGACCAGCTTGACTGCTCTTGATATCTGAACCTTCATGTAAACCTGCATCCTGAAGCAAACTCGGCTCAGTCTCAGTTTCAGTGCAGATACCGTGCGTACCGATAAGTTTGAATTATCAGCCTCACTGTTAAAGTAATGTACAGATTTTTAGCCGTTCACATTCCAGCCCAGCCTTTGTGTCTTCTGAAGGCTTCCCCAGGAAACCCCGGCTGGTCAGCTCCCATAATACGCCTTCCTCTGCTGTGGTCTCGTGGTCTTGTTCGAAATGTGTTCCGATGTTTCTATCTCCACTCATAACTGCACTCAGTCCTCCAACCTTGCACACTCCGGGTTCAGTTTCAGTGACCAATCCACTAAAAATCCACCACATAATTTAAGCAGTTCCATTTGTTCTTGAAGATAGCCATCAAGTGTGGTTCTATGTAATTGCATTTGGACCATTGGAATCCATAGTGTGGTAGCTGCAACCTTATATGCCATCATTTCCTATAGGAGCACTCAGAGTTAAGTGGAGGCTAATGTTTTGTGGCTCCGCTGATATGGAGTGCTGTTGGTTTAGTCATTAGGATGTAGTTGTCTGGGCTGAAAGTGTGTAGGGGGAGGAGAAGAACTACAACTCATTGACAGGGTGTGAGAATGAGTATGCACGTGTGTGTCAGTCAGCAGATAACGTGGTATTATGTCATGAAACTGCACAAGTATTAGTAAAAAGGTGTGCCAGGCGCTGGCTTAGGGAAAAGCTCCACCAGTGCCTGTATTTCCTTCGACCCAGCCCAGCTAGTTTGTTCTCTTTATCGCAGATAAATAACGTGTGGCAGTTTTCTGATGCGGCCCATAGATGGAACCAAGTCTGGGGGTTTTTAATTTCTATTTCTAAGCCTTCATTTACTTTCCATCCAATTTCATTAGCAGTTTTGGCTCCTTTATTGGCCTGTGTGTCCCCAGTCGTATATCACACTGGGAAAGACCATGAATAAGCATGTGAAAAGCTCCATCAGAAAATATAATTTTGCAGCCAAAGCTTTAGTGTCAATCTGAATTGCTGCAGTGCTTCAGTGACTTGCATAATTACCTCAGTCCTGATGAGAATTAATTTTGTAGATTGGAGTGGAGAGAGGCTGAATGTTCAGTCAAATATCTGTGAAAGCTGATGGTAATTGGAGAACTTGGCGATTGAATTCTGTTGAATAATGCTAAAAATGAATCTATTAAGATGATCTAAAACTTCACTTAGACACTGTTTTTAAATTTGTTAAGTCAGTGGAAGCTTTTGTCTCGATCATCATATAGATTTGTATAAGAGTTGAAAACAATCCAACATCCTTGGCCGCGTCGTTTCATTTCTCAGGAGTTTCAAAGGATCATCGGGTCTAATGTTTGTATCCAGACTGAGCAGACTCTTACGTAGTCAGTGGCTTCAGGCTGCTCTGATGTAGGCTGCGCTCTGCCAAGTCCTCGAATGATCAGCCAGGCGCGGAATCAGTGTCCTCAGACAGACCCAGCTGATAGACACACTGCTGTAAAACCATAAAACTGTATCAGTGTCAGTGATTGTTCAGGTGACTCAGTGTTTGCTTTTTTGGGGGGCTCAGTTTATTGAAAAGCCATACACAGTTATCCATGTTTACACTCTTCCTGGTGTGTAAACCTGTAGGCAATAAAACTACTCCCTTCACAGTAGGCATACATTTTTTGCATGATCATGATTAAGGCTAGGGATAGACCGATATGGATTTTTTTAGGGCCGATGCCAATACCGATTTTTTTCCATCACCCTTAGCCGATGACCGATTATGGACTGCCGATTTTCTTGAGCCGATATTTGGGGCCGATACTGCTTTTGCTCCCTCAATTTACATAAAAAAAATGACACAATGATAACAAATATTACAGGTCTCAAGTTTAAAATAAGAAACATTTATTGAACAGTAAAAAATACTAAAACAAGATGGAAAGTTGAGGTAGAACAGGTAGAATATTATTATTATTATTATTATTATACATTCAAATAAAAAAAAGAGTTCAGTGCTCTTAAATCTTCCAGTAATGTCTTTATAAAATAAACAAATATTTAAGCTGAAGCATAAATAAAACAACAACTACTGTACACAGTAGGATTCAACAGCTTTGTTCAACTTAACCACATACTTTCAAATGAAAAAAAGTGCCAGGGAAAAATAAATCCGCGAACCCACGCGCGTATCGGCCGATGCCAATACAAGTAAAAAAACTCAAATATCGGCCCAATATATCGGCCAGCTGATGTATCGGTCTATCCTTAGTGATGATAACACATCCATTTGTGGGCATCTAAGATTTATAACTGAAAAACGATGATGGTGAAACAAAGTAAACTTTGTTGTAGTCACCATATATTTATGTAAAACCATGTCTTGTAATGCATGTTATAGATAATAGACATATTGCCTACCTCTTGAGGAGGACGAGGTCAAATTCAGAGTCTGTTTCAAGACTTTATGACTCCTGCAGTTCTCTCTCTGTTGAATGACCAACCAAGGTTGATGTGTTTTTGCCTCTGCTCTTGCAGCATTAGTCACAACAAAATATAACGTTGATTTAAAATTCTCAGAAGGAAAATCTCCTGGTTCCTTCACTAACTATCATACAACTCACTTCAAAACTTTGCCTGGGAAAATGTAAACAAAAGGCGCAGCTAGTCTGCCTGCCATAAATGGTTTTGACTCATTTCATGGGGAATTGGACCCAGGTACATGCGTTAAGAATAACATTATAGAAATAGCCAGTGCTCTCTCTTTGGTTCAGTTCAATTGAACTCAAGTTTCTTTGCTTCCTAAGTGTGGTTCTTTTGGGCAGGTATGAACACAGCAGTCGCACTCAGGTGAACACCTGGTCTCGGTCTGGTTGCAAATGAACTCTGGTGTGGTTCATTTGTGGTTAGAACATATGCCGACCTCGATGACACGGATACGATGACCAGTGCTAAAAATCAACCTGCATAGTTGTCGTCTTCTTCAACGTTTTGTTTACTTCCTGGATTTTTCCCACATGGAAATTCTGTCCAATCAAGAGCAGCTTTCAAGTGCAAAGCATTTGATCTGGTCTGCTTGTAAATGCTGCCGTGAGAACAAGAACCAACTTTCGGCAATTATGCAACTTTGCAACAAAATTAGTCCCTGATTCAAACCAAAGCAAGACAACTCTAGGTCTGAAAGCACCCTGAGTCATTAAGAGCGTGTTTACACTTGGTTTTAACGTGCGTTTTGGAGATCTGAACACAAGTGAACAGCTGATGCACATCGCCATTCACACGTCTGTTACGTGTCTTCAGCTGACTGCTTGTGTCCAGATTTCATTTACTGCTTATGTCCCTTATGCTCGAGGGTCAAAAGGCCCTACAGAGATTTATGTCCACACACTCACTAGCTTCTTGCTAGCATTGCGTTAGGGATTGTGTCTGTCCAGCTGGAGGTATCACTGTCAGCAGGATTCAGCACGTATCCTTCCATCGAGCAAAGCGATGGATGGTCACAACACTTAGTCCAACTTGCCGTAAAATGGGAAGTCACCAAAACAGTGACTACCTGTTGCATTGATGACGTAGTCCTTGTCTGGGACGCATCAAGAGGCATTCGTTTTTACGTTACAAAAGATGTGTGGTCAAATGCGTCTTAGACCACCTCAGCAGTTGTTTGAGTGATTGGATCACAATGCGTCTTGTTGGTTGTGTCTTGTATTCAGTGCTGTCCACTTGTGATCAGATCACCCATGTTAATACAAGGTATAAACAGGGCCATAGAGGCATCCGTATTAAATTGAGGCCAATTCATAACCATATAAAACTCCTTGCAGCTGCTTTATCAATGTACATTTTCTTCAAGGCTCACATGTACACATGTTTGCGTGTGTAACGCCACTGAGATTCAAAGTCTTGCTTGTTCAGCCATTTCTCCAACAATTTATAAAGCCACGTCGTTTACGGTTTTCGTGCAGGTTCAAAGACAGTCAGACCAGCATCAAGAATGGTGACCCTTATGTGATCCATGAGAATGGCACGTTGGAGATCCATGTGGCCCAGCCGCTTAACAGTGGGAAGTACACCTGCATTGCCACTAACAACCTGGGGATCAAGGAGAACCATGTCTACCTGGAGGTTAAAGGTCAGTATGAGAATTGGTGGTTCAGTTTGGGGCCTGTTAAAAATATTATTTTAACAGATTGAGATTTTAGGCCTCTATAAACACAGATTTTTTCGAATCTTCTAGAGCCGACCCGTATCCTGCGGCAGCCAGAGTACAAGGTGGTGCAGAGAGGAATGAGTGCTGTTTTCGAATGTAAAGTCAAACACGACCCATCCCTTGTTCCGGTCATGACCTGGCTCAAAGACAGCGGAGAGCTGCCTGATGACGAGAGGTACAAAGACCTTAAGACTCATGGGAGATGACTTTATTCAGGGCTGTTCCTGACTCAGAATTATGTCACTCGAATTAGATTTGGCAGTTTAATACAAATATTCGGCGATTATTTTTTTCTATATGAAGCTCAATTATTTAGTTTGTTGTTGTGTGACTTTGAACAGTAGAGAAATGAAAAATGCACCATCCTTCTGTGATACTCTGTCATCAGGTTTGTTGTGGACACGGACTTGGACAGTCTGACCATCAAAGACGTGAGAGATGGAGATGAGGGGACCTACACCTGCATCATGAACACCACCCTGGACAGGGACTCAGCCAGTGCCATGCTGACTGTCATAGGTATGTTCACAGTGCATTCAAGGGTGTTTACAGGTTACCAGAGCTCAGGGATTGTGTGGAGAAATTACACAATGCACTTATATTTTTAAAGAAGTTTTAATTGTCCTGCTGATGATTTATACTCCTAAAAAATCTGGTCTTTAGTGAAAAGCACTGAAACCATTTTTTCAGTGGGTATAAGCTGTAATCTAATTTTGTGTCTCATTACAACAAAATTTTCCCTGCTGTTTCTAATATCTCTCACTAACATCTAATCTCTTCTTGCACTTTATTCTTGCTTCTTGCTGTCTCAGAGGCTACTCCCACTCCAGCTATTGTCTACGGTAAACAGTCACCACAGATTAGGATTCTGTAGCATCAAATTCTGTTTGTAAAACCTCTCATTTCACCTCAATTTTTATTTCATTTTGGCTGTTCTTCTTGATTTCTTTGTTTCATATTGCGCCATTTGATATTTATTGAGTTTTATTTTATATAGAGTACGCATTTTACAATTTGAAGCATTTTATTTGATTGTGAAAAACAGCCTCTGCACACTCACGGTTCACCCACACAGGTGTTTTCACTTCACCTGCCTGATTAGACGCCTTCTCAGGTGTTTGTGATCGTGCTCAGACTGAGACTAACAGGCCGTTTACACGTACACAGTGATTTTGATAAACGGAGACATCTTCCTTCGTTTGTGCCCTTCGTTTACACGCAAACAGAGATTTCTCCTCTGAAAACGAGTCTTTCTAAAAACTCCGGCCAGAGTGGAGATTTTGGAAAACTCCGGTTGCGCGTTTGCATGTAAACTGAGATAAACGGACATAAACGGAGTTATAGGCAGCCCACGTCACAGTATGCGCCAGAACTTGCCTCCTGTGTCAAAAGTGCGACCTATGTTGCTATGGTGACAATGGATACATGGAAGGCTTGAGCTTCTCGTTACACTGCCACCTACAGGTTTGGCATGCTCTTGTGTATATATACACGGGTAAGTGTAAACGAAGAATTTTTTGAAAACGGAGACGGTGAAATGTCCGTTTATGAAAATAGCCGGCCAAGTGTAAACGGCCTCTGACTGCAGAGGTCTAATCAGCCAGGAGTGAAGACACCTGTGTGGGTGTGCCTGCTCTGAAAATGTTTAACTGCACAAAATAAAAATGCACTTTTTAAACACAATAAAAAGGCTTTACTGACAAAATTATACTTCACTTTTTCCAATCTGCCTCCTGCGTTTGTGATATGTTTGTCTGCAATTCAGCTCTGTTAGTTTACTTTTATGCCATAGGTTTTAACTGAAAAAAAAAAAAAAATCTTAAGTATAAAATCCAAAATTAAAAAAATAATCTTGAGCTACAGTGTTCAAGGTAAATTACTATGCACCTCATTTAGCTGTTTTCACGGTCAAATTTTCAGCTTGCTTTAGACTTGCTTTAATCAGATAGAGAGTGATTTTTAATATTTTCTGTGGTTCTTGGCTCCTTGGTGTGTTTACAGAGAAACCTGACCCTCCGACTGACCTGGAACTGACAGACCAGACAGACAGGAGTGTTCAGCTCACCTGGATCCCTGGAGACGAAAACAACAGTCCCACACAAAGTATGAAATGGTTATCAAACTACACTTTCCCTAACTTGAAATCAGATACAGAATGCTTTGAGAAATATTTTTTGTCCGCTTTCTTTGAGGCAAAATCTACACTTATTTTTTGTTTAAATCATCCCCAGAGTTTTTGATTCAATACGAGGATCTGCTCCACCAGCCTGGAGTTTGGGTCAACCTGACGGATGTTGCCGGTACCAGCACCACAGCGCAGTTAAGCCTCTCTCCGTATGTCTACTACTCCTTCCGAGTCCTGGCTCTGAACGACGTTGGCTACAGTGAGCCGAGCCAGCCCTCAAGCCAATACAGGACCAACCCTGCAGGTGATAAACATGGCCACCCTCCATTTAAAAGAAATACTGCGTTATAGAAAATATTCAAACACTCATTGATTATAATTTTGTTTTTTTAGCTCCTGATGAAAATCCATCGAACGTTAAGGGGGAAGGAACAATGCCTGGCAATTTAGTCATCTCTTGGACAGTAAGCTATCCTTTTAGATATTTTATTTTGGGCTGAATGTGAGTCAAGTTAGAATATTTCAGTAACTGACAAAAAAATAAACTCTTTACACAGCCGCTGACAGGATTTCAGGCAAACGGGCCCGGTCTGGAGTACAAAGTGCAGTGGAGACAGAAGGACGTGGATGGGGACTGGTCCTCGAAGACTGTGGCCAATGTCTCCCAATTTGTTGTGTCTGGAACTCCGACCTACATACCCTATGAGATCAAGATTCAAGCTTTGAATGATTATGGCAATGCGCCAGAGCCTGACGTAACGGTTGGATACTCTGGAGAAGACTGTGAGTCAACTGTTTGATATATACTTTTTAGTTTATGCTAGAGCTGCAGACCTAACTGTTGATTCACAGTGGGATCGGTAGTGCTAGCAACACTTCAAAAGTTGTATGAGGTTTTTATCCATAGCAATCCATACTGGTTAGTTTGTGTTATTGTGCAACTGGTTTTTCAAAGGGTTGGTTTAGATTCACTGAAGTCGCACAATAACATGTCCAAACTGACCGCTTGTGGCAGCAGGAGACCAGAAACTCCCGAGTTCTGCAAGGTAAAATTACTGTTTTCGTCAAATGAGTCCAGTGGCTTTAAAGTGGGATCGGCTTCAGTTCCCTGTGGGAAAGGGCTGTCATAGTATACTCTAAAATATATTCTCAATATAGCGTACACTTCAACTTATATTGATTATTTTAGGTGGCTGCCGCTACTATCCACAGCTGCACAGTACTTTGCTTCTGTGGACAGTACTCCTGTCTGCTTCTCCAAACTAGGAACATGCCGACCACAATCTACTGTATGTAATACATTGGTACCTCATAGGATCTTGAAATTCAATCTTGACTAACTTTTCTCTCATATGTCTCTGCAGTGCCTCTGGCTGCACCTGACAGTGTGCAGATCATGGTTCACAACAGCACACTAGCAGAGGTACACTGGGAGCCTGTTGCTTTCCCCTCAGTCAGAGGAAGACTGCAGGGATACAAGGTATTGTGTTTTTTAAATGATTATTTCTGCAGCATTGGGAGTATTTGGGTGTCCCTGGTGTGAGGGGTACTGCCATTACTTTGATTGTCTGCACAGTGCTTTTTTTCTTTTTTAAACCCTTGCACCCACACACTCCATGGAAGCAATAACCCAGCAACATGAACTAGTGTATCATAGACTTTGCTCTGCATTCAGACCACACACACATCAGCACACACCCCCAACCAGTGTTTCTTACAGAATGAAGGGAAAAGCTCAGCCTATATATACACCCCACAAAATGGCTGACACTCTATCAATTATCCAGTGACGTTTTGGCACGTTTTGGCCAGCCTCCCAGGATGTTGTACCTCCCACACAGACATTTCAAAATAAAGCTCAAAGCAGAAAGCAAATATAACATGTTCAACCAAAGACACACATTCAGACTCTGTAGGAAAATAAAAAGAACAAAACAGAAGCTGCCTATGTGAGAGAACACATAAACTCCATTAAAAGACAAAACATAAAACAGTTTATTCTGGCATGTGTGTGTTCCAGGTGCAACTTCCTCAGAGGCTGGTCATGTGTGTGTCTGCTCCTCACTGGCTAACTGAGAATGAGTCAGCCATTTTGCAGTGTGTATCTAAAGGCAGTGCTTTCCTTTATTCTGTAAAGTGTGTGCTGAAGGATGTGTGTGGAGATGTGGAGGCTGGAAGTGCAGAAACTTTTCATTTCATTAGTTGGTTTTGGAGTTTTCTTGCACATGTTTAGTGTGTAGTAGTGATGGCGAGATGAAGCCTCATGAAGCTTTCCAGCAAATTGGTTCAGAAAAAGGTTCATTACTCGAGGCTTCATGTGCACACGAAACCTCTTGCAAGGCACAGATGATGCTGGTGTACACAAAAATCCAATGGCTAGTCTGTACAAATGTGGGTAAATTAGTTTCTGCCTCTCCCAGTACTCCAGTGGCTCCTCCAGTCTGCCAATATTTGTTTCAGACAGATAACGCTGAACCTCCACGGTAGCATTTGTTGTCATGTTCTGCGTTCTCCTGGCCTCCATGACCGTGTTGTCAAGATGGCGCCACAGTTTGTTACCTGAGAAGAACACGCACATCATGTTAGTGAGTGTTTTAATTCATTACCTTGGGTTATAGGTTGAACATCCTGTGACACTGACGCCTGATCCGATTCTAGGGTCTGAGCCGACCTGATTATGGCAGCACACTCTGACGTCAGCCTTTTTATTGCCTCAGTGGCTTTGGTTGGACTGAAAAATCCAATGACTTTGAATCGTGGGTCCAGTAATGTGGCTAGTGACACAATGCTCATGGATTGGAGGGTGTGGAGCCTCTCCCTCAGCTGCCTAATCAGGTGGTCTCCCATGTCCCTCACCACTGCAGCTGCCGTATTTGTGGTATCTTCTTGTAATGTCTGCTCCAGCATCTTCAGCAGTGGCACAACCTTGGAGCCAGAAACATTCTCCTCTGCCGAGAGCTCCACAGTGGCATCATTAAAGGGAGACAGCATAGACATGCACCCACCAACAATGTTAAACTCGTCCGAGGTCAGTAAGGGGATGTCAGTTTGCAGACCGGCCAAAGCGTCGGCCACTGGCTCTCTGAGCTCCATCAAACGATTAAGCATTTGATAGGTGCTGTTCCAGCGTGTCTCCACCTCTTGAATGAGCTTCAGTTTTGGCCTCCCCAGATGGTCTTGAACCTGTGCAAGCTTCTCTTTAAAAAAATACAGATGAGCAGTTAATTCAATCACTGCAGCAGTAGCACAAACAAAATATTAGCATTATCAAAAATTGGAATAAAGTCAAAGAACGTACCTTAGCAGTGGTGCTGCTTCTAAAGTAGCCAACCAGCTTCCTTGCCTTGGCCCGGATGTCACACAGCACAGGGGTTTGATCAAGAGCCTTCTTCACCATCAGATTCAGCGTATGTGCTATGCAGATAGTGTGGCGAAGCCTCAGTTCTCTGCCACAGGCAAGCATGTTGGCAGCATCGTCAGTCACCAGACATTTCACTTTATCAGTGATTCCCCATTCCTCCATTAGGGAGGCTTTCACACGGGCTAAATTTTCTGCTGTGTGAGAATGGGGGAATTTCAGCACTCCTAACAATACTGAATTTAGCCTGGTGTTCTCGTCAACAAAATGGCAGGTAACAGCCAGGTAGGCATCCATGTTAATGGATGTCCACATGTCAGAGGTAAGGCTAACTGCAGCCACCTTCTGCACTTTAGCCTTAGCCTTCTCCTTAGCTGCATCATATTTGGCCTCCACCATGGCCTTTACAGCCTAAAGAAAGAAGAAAACAAAACGTGCTCAATTATCAGATGTACAATGAAAGTACTCCTTTGCTTTATGCATGCACCCATACACACCTGCCTTGTGGGGAGAACATAGGTAGGATCAAGTTTGGACACAAATGCCCTAAACCCCACGTCCTCCATAATACTGAAGGGCTGTGTGTCCTTCACTGTCATCGAGATTAAGGCCTCATCGAGATCTTGTTTTCTGGTGGCTGGATAAAAGACAATATATGTAAAAACAGTTTGTTACTTGTCTTTCATTTGCACAATAAACAAAAGTCAACATACTAAAATTGTGACAGTATATTTTAATGACTTACCTTGGCTGGGTGCACCTCCAGTTCCCTCCTTATTTTCATGCAAGGCACTGGAAGTGCCTGAACATGGATGAGGTGTTGTTACTGTATCCCAACTCCTTGGAACACAAACACCTCACCTTTGAATAAAAGAAGAAATAGTGAAAAATACAGTTCTTGATAAGCAAACTTAATGTATCTGTAATAATGTTATAATTAGCTTACCTTGTTGGGAGTAATCAAATCAATGTTCCCACACAGGGGAAATCCTCCTCTTCCTCGGTGGCTCCTTCCTAGCAAAGCTATCATTCTCCTACTTTCCAAACTATCCAAACTCTCCAAACTCTTCAAACTCTTCAAACTCTCCAAACTCACCAAATTATCCAAACTCTCTAAACTCTTCAAACTCTTCAAACTCTCTAAACTCTCCAAATTATCCAAACTCTCCAAACTCTTCAAACTCTCCAAATTATCCAAACTCTCCAAACTCTTCAAACTCTCCAAATTACCCAAACTCTCCAAACTCTCCAAACTATCCAAACTCTCCAAATTATCCAAACTCTCCAAACTCTCCAAACTCTCCAAATTATCCAAACTCTCCAAACTCTTCAAACTCTCCAAATTATCCAAACTCTCCAAATTATATATTTTTATTTATATATATTTATATATTGCTGTCAAAACCTCATGGCAAGAACTGAATCACTTCCTGAATCAGTCACGTGGTACAGCCAGGCAGCGAGGCTTTGGAGGCTCATCAGTGACGTCACTCGTCTGAAACGACACAAGCCTTGATACACGCATCACGGAAACTCTTCCTGGATTACTCAACACATGCTTCGAAGCATCAGCACGGCACGTAACATCACTAGTGTGTGGTTAACTGCCTCAACATCTTGCCAAATGTTTGGTAACTCAGGCTTATGTGTGTTTAGGGGAGTTTTGTTTCATAAAGTGGCTTTAAATAGGTATGGCCCACAGTAGTGGAAGCCCCTCCAGACAAACTGATCCCCTCTCAGACATGAGCAGTGTTGCAGTCTACCAACCAAAAGGAAACAATGTTGTATCCAAAGTTCTTCTATCTTTGTATTAGTTTAACATGTGCTTCCAAATGCACTGAAATCAATTACTTTAGCCAGAAGCCTGTCACACTCCTTGCTTTTTCCCCCCTAAATTACCAATAATATGGTGTATTAAAAATACAATATAAAAATCTACTTTCTCAAAGGTTAACATGATCGCATTAAGAAATCTGAACACTTTAAAACTTGCAACAGTACTGTTCGAATGGCCCCAGATCCGGAGCTTCATAGACTCTTCAGCAGTTCCCGAAACCTGCTCTGTTAACACATTCGTCACGACACACTTGTCAGTGGTGAGACTCTTTTCTCTTCCGATGGAATTCTCACCTACCGGAAAGACAGCGTGTCAAGCCACCTGGGTCACTGGATCACAGTGCTGAGTGAGCCCCAGTCCTCAGGCGTCAGGCCCCCACTTCTCTACCCTCTCTGATGGTGAGGTTGAGGTTAGATCCTCACCTTCTAGCTGTGCAGTCTTTACCTTCCGGGTGACCTCTCACACTAGTGATCCCGCCGACAGCCCCAAGTGTGGTGGCAGTTAGAGTCTTGTCTTTCTGTAAGTTTAATTCAGCATCTGCAGATGGACTCACAACTAACAGTCAAGAATGAGGGGTCATATCATTCAAGTCATAAATAAAATTTAAGAAATGAAACAAATGTCCCAAAATCATCTTATTGAAAATATGAGAGGTGCAGTTTAACAATTTGAAGGGGATTTTAAGACTTTTGCATCCTGTGGGCCAGGGCTGTACCTAAAGATTATTTCCACTGGTGATTCTTTTTGATTAATCGATTAGTTGTTTGGTTGAAATGGTAAAAAAAAAAAGTCTACTGGTGTTCCCTAAAGCCCAAGATGACACCCTCAGATGCCTTGTTTTGTCCATAACCAAAATTGATTCTGTCATTGAAGAGTAAAGAAACCAGAAAATATTCACATTTAATCAACTGGAATCAGAGAATTTTGTGCTTTCTGTCCTTAAAAATGTACTCAGACCGATCGATTGTCAAATTAGTTGGAGAATGATTTAAAAAACGACAATCAATTTAATTGTTGCAGCTCTCATGTGGGCACTACCTCACTCACAAAGCCCTCCATAACCAGGGCCCCTCCTACCTCACTGACCTGCTCCACCACCAAGCTCCTTTGTTTTATAAATGCAGTCCATTTAGCCGAGCTTGAGTTAATTTGATCACCTCACCTGGAAGTTGACACAACAGCTTGAAAGCTCTCTCAAGCCTGGTGTTTCATCTTTGTGTATGATGTCCTCACCATGTTGATGATGAAATAATAGTGCACATCAGGTTGACATCTAATGAACTCCTGGTGTGTCTCCTCTAGGTTTACTACCGGCGTGAGCGCGGCTTGGACCAGACAGAGGAGGACACGGACCAGCAGGAGCAGGTTTTGACGTTCAGTGGGAATCGTAGTGAGGGACGTCTTCCAGGGCTCCAACCTTACAGCGTCTACAACCTCACCATCAGGGTCCTCAACAGCAAAGGAGAAGGGCCTCCTAGCCACAGCAAGAAATTTGAGACACCTGAAGGAGGTATGTATGCTGACATTGGCGGACATGGTGGCTCTGCAGGCCTGGAGCATCATACATGTACTAATCCTCAAATGAAGCACTTTTGTTTTATCACAAAATGGTTCCAAAGGTTTGTCTGACTTCACAATGGGTCGTCACACTTGCACAAAATCAGCCTGTCAATACATTAGAACCTCTCTTCTGTTGTATCAACCTACAGCTGCTACAACTAACACCATCAGTACTACTTCTGTGATGAAAACCCAGAATCACCATAGCATCCCCCTGACATTGCCTAACGACCATCCAGAGCCTCCATAGAAAACATCCCAAACAACCTAGCAAACCTGTAGCTATACCCTAGCAACCACGTGCAGTATAACACCATAGCACTCTCCTTGTAACCCCCAGCAACCATCCGGTTACACCCTTGAAACCTCACAGAGCACTCTATGACGTGAATATGCCCTAATAATCATGTTTTGCTCCACTACCTATGGATGGTTCTGTGTAACATCCAGATGCTGACTTTGGTTCTGATTTTGTTTTCAGTCCCAGGGCCTCCTTCTTTCCTGAACGTCATGAAACCTAGTTTGGACTCTCTCACTCTGGAATGGGGTCCACCAGCGAGCAACAATGGACGCCTTGCTGGATACACACTAAAATATCAGCCAGGTAGGTTTACAGGTTGCCTGACACACCTGAACTCTACCTAATGTCCTTTTATCACATTTGAAACTTCTGTTGAGCTTTCTGATTGAAGCTTTGAATATCTTCCATAGTTTAGTTAGCACCTTAAAAGATCCTCAAACAAAATCCTCACTTTGTGATTCCTCAGATTAAAGGAGTCAACATCACGTAATGTGTTTTTTATTTTTTATTTTGTGGAATGGTTTATCAGTCAAGGTGACTTTTTGTGCCTGCCCATTAACGTCAACAGAAATGGCACCAAAGTTATGCTGTCATTGACACTATGACCTCACCCGCTTTTATAGTTTCCATTGTAGCTGACTGAAAGTAAACAGGGACCACAGCTGTTGTCTTAGCAACAGGAAAGCAATGAAATGGCCTATATGTGAAATTTGAACACATGCTGCGTTTTGATTAATTTGCATGCGTTTTGTCACTAAAATAAATTTTGATGAAAAGAAATATATTTGGGAAAAAAAGGTCTGTCAGAAATGTTTTTTGTTACTATTGCCCCAAGGAAATAAAAAAGAAAAAAAATCTATTGCTTTTTTTTCTTAGCATGGACATTAAAGAGTTAATTTCGCTCACATGTGATTGTACCTTTATGCAGCATCTGTGCAAATCAAAAACCACATCCTATATTCCTAACTTCAGCCTTTTCCCTTTCCAATTTGCTTTCCTCTGTAACACTGCCCCTGCAGTCAACAACACCAGTGAACTGGGACCGGTCAAGGTCATGAACCTCCTGGCCAATGAGACTACCGTCACCCTGGGCAACCTGAACTCCAGCATGCTCTACAAGTTTTACTTAAGTGCAAAGACAATCAAGGGCTCTGGCCCCGTCATCACAGAGGAGGCCTTCACAGTCATGGACACAAGTGAGTTATTTCAGCTCCATCTGTAGCCAAATGTAGCCCAACAGGAGGAAAAGGTCAATGTCATATATCAGTTGTATTTACTGGAGTGCAGGGGTCAGCATCACAGTGACCTGACAGATACAAGGGATTCCTGTGACTTTTAAAAGCACAAGATCCTACTGCATTCCACGCCTTATACCCCCTCTATCTCTTTCTCTTTTTCCTTCTCTCTGAAGTTCGTACTCAGCCCACTGTAGGGCCGGGCAAAGGTAACCCAAGTTTGCCACTGGAAGCACCTGCATGTTATCCATATGATAAAAAAGAGCTTATCTTAGATATTGTTTTTAGATAAATTATCCCTGCATGTTACTAAGACAGCATGCCTGAAAACTCCCCACGTGAATAAGCAGGATTTAAGTGTGACAGACTTCCATGGCATCCGCAAGCAAACCATGCTTGTGTCCTGTTCTGAGAGAATAGGTTGTACTCACTGCAGCTTCCTGGACTTTTAGAATTAACTGTGCTTGCGCTCTTTGCCTCTTGTATTTCTTCAAACGGAAGTGTTTTGATTGGAAGCCTCTCGCATGATGCTTGTGAATGTTTCAGTCCAGCACTAACACATTTTATAAACCTGCTGATGCTATGTGTATAAATACCTAGAATTTTATTTAGCATGCATGCTGCGGTGCTGTGATTCAGAGTTTCGTCTGTTTGGATGCTGAACTAGGTGCGTCACATCACTCTGAATCTCAGGAGAGGTGTCGCGGCATGTTTTTAACTCAGCATGTCAGTAGCAACTGTCTTTGTGAAACAGCAGCTCTGCAGTTCACCGTATGCTGACGACTGTGTTGTGTATGTGTATTGTCTCACTCTTTTCCGTGTTCTTTCAGGCCCTACAGAACCCCCCCACCCAACCTCCCCCATCACTCAGTCTCCGCATCCCCCGATTCACAAGGGTACAAGCAACTCCCTGCGTCCCCCTCTACCTCCTCAAATATCTACATGTGTTCTCTGCTCTGCAAAAAATGCTCCATCTCAGCAAGAGTCTTTAAAATAGGATTTAAAATTTGGTCCATTTTCAAAAATTGAGTGAAGCTGATTTCTGTTTTTTATTCCTCACCTAGCTGGCAGTTGACCTATTTTAGGAGGTCTAATAAGTCCTCACTGAGATGGCCATTTTTCGCACCTACTGTAAATAATACCTGATTTTATGTTGCCACAGGATCTGACTTTGCTATTGTTAGGAAACAAAATGGTGTTTATTTTAATCTATAGTGCGGGACTTTTACATATAAATGAACTATCATTACACTCAAACCAGAAGAGTTCACACAATACCGATTAAGCCTATCGCCATCAGGGAAAGCTCTCTGTATTTCATAGTATACCAGAGTCATGATGTATGGTGTCTACGGTTAAACAAGCTAGAGCATCAGACTGATGCATTTAACGTCAACCAGCTAGAGCTAAAAGGGGGCAGGAAGTGGGGAGAGAGCAGCAGTTAGGAGTAGGGCTGCCCCCGACTAAGAATTTTCCCAGTTGACCAAAAGTCGTCATTTAGCGCCATCAGTCGACGAGTCGCCCGCATAATATAATTATGAAATTACATATTTTGGGTGGGGCAACACAATCAATCAATCAATCAAACTTTATTTGTATAGCACTTTTCATACATTAAAAATGCAGCACAAAGTGCTTCACAGAATAAAAACAAACAAAAATAATACATACATATTGAAAACCTGCCCCTCCCACCCCCACATATAAACACACACACACACACACACACACACACAGTCAATATAGTCAATAACATGGCTGGGCACTGAGGAACCAGGTGAGGAAAGAACCACCTATGGGGAGCCATCCACACTGAGAGGCGCTACAGCCCACGGCCACAGGGAGCGCCGCCACAGAGACCACCCCGACCTAGACAGACCGGGGTGGACTCCACACATGGTGTGGAGATTAGGAAAAATTAAAGAGTTAAAGATTAAAATAATGGTTTGAGTTGAAGGTGTGAGAAAGAATAGTATCAGTAACATTGTTAACACTGTGCTACATTACAGAGAAATACAAAACCGTACTAATGAACCTTCATTAATATAGGCCTATGTTTTATCTACAAGTGCACGTCACGCACTGAGCGAGCCGCCTGTTAATGACGCTGTGGGCTAATGGGCATGTAGCTACTTCCATGTTTCAGATGATACGTCATGTTTGTAGTCGACCAATGAAGATGAGTTTACATATCACCTTGGGTCCGCCCTTCACCAATGACCTTGCTGGTTGGCTAACGTTTGGTTTACTAATAGGGGGCAGCCCTAGTTAGGAGTATGGTGGAGGCCAGGCAGAAAATCTTAAGAAGCATCCATGAAAAGTTTCTGGAGTCGATGCTCTAGAAACTTGCCCTTATTTGCTCTGGAAGACTTGAAGAGAGCGTTCGTGGGGGGTGTGCAGATGCTGCAAGCTCACCTGTAGGCATTATTAGCATGTGTGACTCTGTTTGTGTAACTCCTCAGTGCCAAAGAGGGGAGACAAAAGTTCTGCACTGCGGATTTAAACCTAAGACTAGTCTAGCAGACATGAAGTTCCTATAAATTCTTGACTTGAATTTTGCTGTTGGAAGACCTCAGGTTACAGTGGCTAATGTTTTTATTCTGGTGTAGTAGATTTGTAGGTAACGGCTTTATCCTAAACACTGGTATAACATATAATGTTTGTTATTTCTACTCTCTCCTGTACATACACTGTAAGCTCCATAGCAATATTTGAAAGGTTTTGTTTCATAGTAAGGACTTTCAGCCCATTCTTATCCCCAGGTTGTCAAGTAACACTGTCATGCCCCTTGACGTGTAATACTGACACCAAAGGCACCCTTTAGCGTCTTTTTGAGATGCACAGGGCTTTCAACTAACTACGATGTAATCCTATCTGCGGCAATACTTGACGCTGAGAGCAAATGAGGCACTATAACTCTGAAAATGTCACTTAGGCACCTGCGTCCTGTGTGGAACCAAATGTCAATGCTGTTTTAACGTGACATATTTACATCACGTTATGTAAAAAACTTTTTTGAACCCAAAACATGATCTATTTTCCAAACCCAACAGACTAGTTTTGTAGCCCAAAGCTAACCATGACAGTTTCACAACATAAACCATGTGTTTCAGCTAAAGGGTGCCTCGTGCGTCACTATTAGATGCCGAGGGGCATGACAAAGTGTCGATATTTGACGACTCGAGAATGAGAATTGGTTGGCATTTTGTAAATTTGGTACATTTTAGAATGAAAGCCCTTGATTTGTTTTTCTCTCTTGTGTGCTCAGCGCCACCTGTAGGCCCTGCGTTTGGCACAGTTAACACGTCTGTATCGGAGGACGGTGCAGTGATCAGTTGGGATTACTTTGGACACCATAGGAATGTATATGTGGAGTATATTGTAGAAAACAGTAAGGCTTCGCTTTGTATTTGCAGTCATCTCACAACATGAGTGCATGCATTGAGTGCCTCCCTGATTCTAATTCCTCTCCATCCACTACAACAATTCTAGGTAAAGAGGACTGGAAAAAGGAGTTGGTAAACAGTTCACACTGGCATATGATAAAAGGTTTAAAGCCGGGGACGTCCTATAAGGTCCGTGTGGTAGCTAGAGACCCGGCTGATCCGACGGTCCACAGCACAGACGAAGTGTTGATTGCGGTGCCAGGTGAGGCGGCATGCCTCAGTATAGACGGCCTTTGTGTTTAATTTTTGTCTCATTTCCCTCATCCCGTTTCTGTTCCAGCACCGACTCATTATCAGACCTACATTCAGGCATGAATGTACGGTAGTTAGTTTGGTAGTTAGTGTGCGAGTCGGTCTGATGCATGTCACTTAAAATCATCACTAAGAGGTCCATTAATTTTACTGTGGTGGCTTTTGTCTTTTACTTTTTGTTGTGTGTACAGTGCCGAACGATCATTGCATATTAACCCACTTCAACAATTTAATTTCTGTTTTTACAGCGTCTTTTAATCTCAGTGTTGCTCAGCATGAAGAAAACAGATTCCACCGTTGTAGCAGCCTGGATTGAGATTTGGACTGACAGTCACTGTTTGTCTGCCCCCTGTGTGTATGTGTGTTTCTAGCTGTCCCCAGCCGGCAGGTAGACATCGCCACCCAGGGCTGGTTTATCGGACTGATGTGCGCCATCGCTCTCCTCATCTTGGTCCTCCTCATAGTGTGCTTCATCAAGAGGAACAAGGGGGGCAAATATCCAGGTAATGCACGCATTATCAGTATACGCTGGTGATTTTAAAGCTTACTAACATGGATGGATGGAAATTTGAGAAATAGAAATTGGTTTATTCTACAGTGAAAGAGAAAGAAGATGCTCACCAAGACCCAGAGATCCAGCCTATGAAGGAGGATGATGGGACATTTGGAGAGTACAGGTGAGGGATGGAGAAGGAAAGACTAAAGCTGAGCATACACTGTACGATTTGAGCTGCACAACTCGGCTGAAGTTCAGCTTTGTGGGGCATAATTTGCCGTGCAGTGCATGTGGGTTGAGTGAGGATGGATCATGGCCAGGTCAGCTGCTCCTGGCTTGCCATCATTTTCTTTTCTTTTAGATGTACAGTGTGAGCGCTCAGGTCGTGGCCTTTGGCTTTACTGTACAACTTTGATGATTTACTCATATAGTAGGAGTTGGAATAAAACATATCTGAAATGGTACAGTGTATGCCCCAGCTTTACGTAGAACTACAGCATACAGTAGTTTGTGAGATTTCTCTTCATTTTATTCATTGTTTTCCTGACTTGACTATTTGTATGTAGAACATTTCACCAGGCTGCAGAGACACTCTCACCGCCAGACTCCATTACCACACACTCCATAGAGGCAAGGCAAAAATCAGCACTTCTCTGTGTTGATTCTTATAACGACCAACTCCCCTTTACACTGACATTAATCAACAAAAGCTTTGTAGAGTGCAAAGTATATCCATTTTAACAACTCAATTGTACGCTAACTGTCCTCAAAACAAGTCTATTATAGTGACGTAGTTTTAGTTTTTTCATCATTTTCACATTTTCTTCTGAGAATATTGAGAATTTTAGAACTCCTGAGGGTTTTAGAGGCCTAAAAGTTGAAATAAATGAGTTGTTATAATTGAATGTAATGTGTGTTTAATGTAACGTGGATGCCACAGTGCTTTAAATGTTCCCATACGCATGCTTTGTCTTGTGTGACGCTCATTGTGGCTCATGAATTGCTTTTCATGTGTCCTTCCATTCTTATCTTTGTTTTTTTTTCGGTGGGTTTAGGTCTATGGAGAGGTAAGACAAGATGCGGTAAAACCCAGCATGCAATTCTATATAATGCCTCAAGCTATGTCTCTGACTGAAGTGAAACTAAAAGCAAGGAGAAAGAACATCGACTGATCCAGCTGACTATGTCGTCATACTCACTGACATAGTCAGCGCCATAACCACCACAGTTACAACATTAACACTGAAATTTAACATGGAATATGATTGCTTCTACTTCTCCAGCTTCCTTTATTTATTATTTTTTCTAAATACATATGCATTAACTTTCAAAAATTGAGATAGATTCAGATTGTAAAGCTTGCAATGCAATGACTGCAATAGGACGTTTTTAGGCCAAATGAAAACAGGCTTTATCTTGGAGGGAAAAATACTGAAAAATAAGAGTGCATTTTTGATTACTGCATGTAAACTGAAAGCATATTGAGCATATTGATTTCATTTAAAAAAAAATTGTATCTAAAGGTAAAGTCCTGCAAGAGGCAGAACAGCACGCGTTTGCAATATCCCCTTTAGCAGTTGTCACCAACCCTAAATCTTAACAGCACCCTGCACTAACACTTTAGATAATACGATAACTGAGCTGCTCCACTGTACAAGTACCATAGGTGTGATGCGTTTACTGCCCATTATAAAAACCCTTTATACAGTGAGCAGTTGTGTATATGTCAGCTTAAAGCTGGCAGGCAGTATTTTGGGAAACAGCAAAAAAACCCTGACAGAATGTGACAATACACCTCCTCCTGCAGCTCCTCCCTCTCTTACCTAAGCCCCTCCCACCAGACAAGCACAGGCCTATGCATGCGCTTCATGAAGTATGTGTTTACCATGCATTGATTTAATTTAATTTTATTGTAGAGTTACACTCAGCCCCTCCTTGCCCAGCTTTCTCTCTGTTTGACAGACCAGAATTTTGACAAGAACTAGCTAACCACCCCACGGTCCCTCCGCCTCGTTCTCCGCCAGTGTGGACTGCTTCTCCAGGAGGAAAGCTGGCAGCAGCTCAGTAGACTGATGTTAAGTCAACAGCTGTAGCAACTCAAATTCAGCCAGCGCAAACCCTAAAGCTGGCCAGTTCAAGCCTTGAAGCCGGGTGCCACAGCAGGCTGGTGGTCAGCAGCAGTGCCAGGTCTAACTTGTGTAAAGGCAGCAACAGAAAGTTTGCTAATCCAGCAGGTAGTTGGGGCTGTCCAGTCCCATGAAGCTGGGGTCTGTACTGGCTCGATTCAAGTTGCTGCAGCCACTGACTGAGGGTTCGTCTTTGAAGCTGGTGCCTGCTCTTCTTCTGTGCCGACGTTGGCTACATAAACGTGAACTTGAAGCCGCAGCTGTTAGCCTTTTGCTCCGGTTAGGAGAAAGCTAAACTGTTAGCTAAATTGTTACATCTTCTCTTCATCTCTTGAACGCTTTGCAAATATTGACACCTGTTTTTATTTTGTTTATCAGACTCTCTTTTTAATAAGTATCATATCGTATCGTATCGTAACCAATGCTGGAATATCAACTTTCTCTGCAGGAATTTCTGCTTTTGAATCAGGTTTTCACTAAAAAGGACATGCACACACATCTGCATTTGTAGTACAGCCAATAGGAACGCCCGCTGTCTGAAATGACCTGTGATTGGCCAAAGTTTGCCATCACAGGCCAGATTTTCTAAAGCTGAAAACAGAGCCAAGAGGAGCTGCAGAAGTTTCGTGTTCTCTCAGTCCACTTAAATTACAATACGCTCAAAGTTTATGATGGGATTTTTGCCCAGTGATGCCAACATTAAACTGCCTACCCCTGCTTTAATACCTGCTCTACCAGCACATTTGTACCAAACTGTGTACAAAACACCACAGCAATATATTTTGTCACTTCATAGTATATGTTGTATTGTGCAGTGGAAAAGCCAGATCACTCATGTAAATTGCTAATAATGGCAAGTGTTGCATCAGGGTCTCTGACCACTGTCAAAAAAGTTTAACAGCTGTATGTTCTTAATAACCTTCCTTCTAAAATGTTTCCTTCCCTTTATAGTGACACAGAGGATCACAAGCCGCTGAAGGGCAGCAGGACGCCGTCCAACGGGACGGTGCGCCGTGACGAGAGTGACGACAGCCTGGTGGACTACGGGGAGGGCGGGGATGGACAGTTCAACGAGGACGGCTCCTTCATCGGCCAGTACAGCGGCAAGAAAGAGAAAGACACACACGAAGGCAACGAGAGTTCGGAGGCCCCGTCGCCTGTCAACGCCATGAACTCGTTTGTCTAACGAAGGGGCCACGGCCTGGCTGCGACGGTTGCTACGGCCACTCCTTGTCACCCTGGCAAATGTGACCATCTCTGTGTGGTGACAGTTGCTAAGGTGACAGTCGTTGTGGACACCTACTTCTACCATGGTGGCTGTCACTCCGGTGGCCCCCTCGCCACGGCTACCTGTCACCAAGACTGCTGACACGCCCTCATCTCCCACACCCGCCAGCCCCTGTCACACTGTGACCTCATCTGATCTACACACACTCAACATGGCCAAGACACCACATCCCCCCCATAACCACTGAAAGAAGGTGTGAAACGAGGGATGTGAGGACTCTGAGAAGAGGGAAGGAGAGAGGAAGCAATATAGAAAAGCAGAAGGAATGTACCAGAGAGTTTTACCACTCAGACTGAGCAGAAGTGTGTGTGTTAGTGCCATTTGATCTCCTTCGCTAAACATGATGTATCCAAATATATATTTTATCAGAGTACAGAACATGACCCGCAGGCAGGCAAATATGCATTGAGTCACGTTCATAAACATCTGCATGGAGTAAATCATGATTCTATTGAGCATTTTACCACCTTCGTGTTGCAGAGGTGAGCTGTGTGTTGAGACTGTGTTTGGTGCACGCCTACTAGCGACTGGATATTCCTTTTATTGTTTTTGTTTGTTTTCTCTTCAGTCAAAGTGTTAAATGGCGTATGATATATAGAGAAAAAAATGGCGGCAGGATCTTTGTGGACACTGCCGCGAAAAGTGTGACTCAAAGTAGAAGCTAGCATATGTCTTTTTGAGACAGATGAACTGTTTGTACATATGTAATAGAATAAGAAGAAAGATATATTTCAAGGTCGGGGTTGTCAATGTGTAGTCATTGGAAACCTGGCTAGAAACACTTTGGACTCAGCGTTCAGTCACCAGCCGGCCAGAACTCCCACATTTATTCCAATCCAATTCTACCCTCATGTTTTCTCAAACTTGTTCTTGCACGCTTTTTTCCCTTTGCTTCCCTCTCCCGATCTGTTCCTAAACACCGAGCCTTTGCTTCTCGCTACTGAGCACTAACTGAACAGCTGAGGTTGATCCACTGTCACTGTCATGTGCTTCCACTCCAGCGTCGTGGCCACTGTGCACGCCTTTCTTCAAGGCGATCTTGGTGTTGTCAGAACCACCCGCTGCCCCAGCATTGTCTCCATTAGCATTTCCACTCATGTACTGGCAGAAAGAAAGGTTAAACACAATAAATACACCTGAGCAGGGTTCAGTGATACTCGCTTTAATTTCTGGATGACTCGATTTTGATGATCAAGAACCTCTCAGCACGGTTTCTAGTGCCTTCGTAGAGAACAGTGACATAGATCCATGGAGTTGCATCCCTCCGCATACACAGGACAGACCTGGGATCAGCGCAGTTCCTAAGAGTCCATGACCATACTTTGCATACAGAATACCACCTCATATTGATCAAACAAAAAAAAATCTTGGAAAAATAATCGCTGTTTCAGAATTTGCTCCAAAGGGCAAGTTAAAACTAAGGCCTCTTTTTTGGAGCTGTTTGGTCACCAAGTCTGTAAAACAGTTTTTTAAACATCCACGTGGGCTCATTAAAGGTATACTCAGCAGGAAGTGGTTTCTGTTGTTCATGAACAGTATCACCAGCCCCAGTTTTTTCCATCTGGCATTTTGCTTTGTTATATTTGTGCTTTGTTAGTTTGTCTGCAATTTCTGCAGCTTTCTCTCTGATGCATGCTGCTTACAGTCTGGCACCTGGGGCCTCATTACAGAAACTTCCCAAGTCTGAAATCCTGTCTTATCTCAGTTTAGGATGACATTAAGGTTTTTTGGTGTGACAGAAACATGTTTCCAAACTGCATTTAGGAAAATATGTTACATTAGCTTTGGATGTGAAGTTGGCTATTTAGGACCGTCCTAGCTTAGAGATTTCGGAAGTTAGGATGGGACAGACTCTGTCCTTCAAAATACCTGCTAATAATGGCGGCAGCACTGTTAGATTTGTTTGGCACTGAGTGCGTTTACATGGACAGATTAATTCCCTTTTCATTTGGAATGAAAGTTCATTCCTAATAAAAGTGATCTTGTAAACACCTAATTCGGAATGAAAATGGACAATGCGATTGAAAATTCAATCCGATGTAAGGGGCTGGAATATTCCGTTTCTCATTCCGAATGAAAGAATTTCTCGTACTTGTATACACTCAGTCCTCTTTAAGTTCATTCCAGTCTTTCTGTGCATGCTCGTTTCCTTGCCCTTCTGGCGTGATGACGTATATAACGCGCACGCAACTCATTGCACTAACTGGTTTCCATTCACCAAAGCACGGTCTTCTACCTCCCTTCTTCTCCTCATCAGACGAAACATTAGCAGAACAAGGTTGTTGTCGTACTGCTGCTTCAAGAATATAAGCAAAACAAGCCCGAAAGGGCACTAAGAAAGGCGTTGTCAAGCATCTTGTTATCCGGAACGAGGACTACAGTGTTTTCTTCTGGTAAACGTAAACATGTAACATCTGCCCTGCCCCCTATCCAATCAGAAACCTTCCCTCCCCACCTTCCCCAAACCTTGCGCGGACCTGAATAAAGGCAATTAAACTGACACTGAAGATAGGAAACAACACGAGCTCCAAAATATGATTGAAAGTCTAATCAAACTAAGTGTCACTTTAAATTTCAATAAATAACTCAAATTAATAATAAAAGGTGTGGTTTCCCCTCCAACTCCTCGTAGCCAATATTGAATGCCCGTCTCTTTTTGTCCGTGATAGCAAGCTAGCTAGCCAGTGAAAAGTGAGAGCCATTGAAATTATAGCCTGTCCATCTCAAGTAGCCCATAGCACATCTTTCTTTAATCAACAATATTTTTATTCAGTTCACAACAGGTATCAAATTAAAGCATATATATGACGGGAACAAAACATGAAATCCAATCACAATCCTCATTCCACAAACCCCTAGTAACAGCCGGAATATCATCAATAGGACAGTCCTCCATCTCCTGAAGAGTACGAAAAATGACAGATGAGGTGATAGTCAGGCTCAATATGAAAAGAGGCATGGAGAGATGCCTCTGTAAAAGGCAGGTTCAGAATGATGGGGTACTTTATTAGAGTATACACTGACAAAAAGCACCAAGAACAAGGAACAAACCGACAGATCTGGAAGTATTTCAGCCACTGGGCATAGGTGGGTGGGGCAGCATCCCTCCATCTGATTAGAACTGCCTGTCTGGTCAGCGGAGAGGGAAAAGACAGTGAATGGCATTGGAGTCGGTGTACATCATCCTCTCCGGTGGTGCCAAAGAGGGCGACCAGAGGGTTGGGTTGCAGGTCAAAGTTGAGGAAAATGTCCTTCCAGTGTTTTTTAAGGCTCGGACACGTCCAATACGTGAATAAGAGAAGCCTCACCTCTTGAACATTTGTCACACACATCTGGATAAATCTGTGACAGTCTGACTTTAGACCAATGGGCTCTGTGCACGACATAAAGAGATGATGAATGAACCAGATTGATGATAGAGTCCTATACACTGTCCGACAGTGAAGTGTTAAAATCTTGTTCTATAGTACTTTAATCAAAGATACAGGCAAGACAGGACAAGTGCCAACTGACAATTGAGTTACAGTTATAGTTAGGATTAAAGAAGTTAAGATAGGAGGTCTGAAATAGGATTGGACACAGCCATGAGTTTAGGATTAGCTTCTGTAATAGGAAGATAGGATTTCTCTTATCTTTGAAACGATAGAAAGATAGGACAAGCAGTTGAATATTTTTTCTCTAATGAGGCTCCTGGTTGCTAAAAAGTCCCGACCTCACCTGACAACACATTCTCACTCCGACCTCGTCACACATTGACGTTTGGTCATGGACTTTCCACGTCCCGATACGACGTGCAAGGTGTCACAGGTGCGTTGGTTGTTGACGTTCTGGGACACTGTCTCAAGTTCTGCCTGTTACATGATTTGTCTTCTTTCAAAATACACTTCTGTTTTCACAGGAAATTTAACATTTACATACAGTCTCTTTCAAATAAACTACGTTGGTACAAAACCGCAAATTGACGGGTTTTTTTCCCTTCAACAAATGCACGTGGTTGGGTTTAGGAATAAAAAGGTCGGCCGAACACCATTCTCTCGAGTGACAGTTGGGGTTTGTTGGACTCGTCCACCACACCTCCCACCCACCCCACTCGGACTTTCCCTGCCTTATTTTTGTTCTTGTCCCGCAACGTTTCCTCTGACACCACTGGGCAGCATTAAACTATACTGACAACCGGCTGTGTTTCATGCCGACATAAAATGATGGCTTTTTTTCATCTGTGTTTGATACCGCAAGTCACTGCCCAAGCGCCGGATTTTGACGACTTCGGAGTGAGACCAGATCGCCTGAGCACTGTGGGGGTGCACGCTCAGGAACGTCTTGACCACAGCAAAGAATAAAAGGAAATACAGGCTGAGGGCAGAGTCAGCGCAGATACACCACTTCACGCATCATAAGTGATGATTGAGAGGGATTATGTTTTGTTTGAATCTTTACATTGTTTTAAGGAGAACCCTGCATAGTATACCTTTAACTTAACACAGCCTCTTTGAGTCTCACTTTGGGTTCCAGGTTCCTACACAGAACTCACGGTTGTAAGGAATAATTTTCAGCTGTAGATTGTTATGGCCTTGTTGACAATCATACACCCATCATCATCATCAGCATATGATATACAAACACACCACCAAATCATCATCAAGCTACGAATAAAAGGCAAATGTGTGGAATATTAAAATGTGTAGGAAACCTGAGGTCAGAGCACGGACGCTTCACAAGATGTCTTCATGTATTCATTTCCAACATTCTCCTCCTAACACGTTCATCTTTAGGAGGAGCCGCTGCTCCAGCAGCACTAAACTACTGCCAACCTACTCACCAGGTAACTGCCAACGGGAACCAGACTCACCATCTGGTACAGACTACTGTTAGAGCGGGACTTCCTGTCACTGGTAGCACTTAGAAATGAAGGCGTTGGATGAATTACGTAATGATGCTGAATGTGGAAACAAGTGTATCTGTTTATGTGAATGAAAAATATTGCTTGTTTCACTGCAAATGGTAAAAACACTGGTGACTTTGGTTTATGCATTTAACCTTATATCTGTGTATGTTGTCACGTTCTGAGCGCCGCACTCAGTGAGTTTTCTATTACTGTAAAAGAATGAAGCTTGTCTGTGAATGTTTGGGTGCACGAGTGTGTGCGTGTGTGTGTGTGTGTGTGTGTGCAGCACATGCATGCTACTGTGTTACAGCGTGCGTGATGTATAAAATTGCTTTTCCATGGATAACAGTCGATAATTCTGATGTGCGTCTACTCTCGACAGGAGATACAAGACCTTTTTTTTTTTTTTCAGAGAACATTTCCACGCCTTAGGTTTATCATAACTTGCATCAAGTTTTTAGGTTGCGATGTGTCAGCTTTCCACGTGTAGATATTTTTGTTGTATTTTGTAAATAATGGCTTGACCTGAGAGCAGACGTGTTGAGGTCACAGAGGTGAGAGCTCGGCCTCAGTGAGCCCCCCCCCCCTCCCGCTGCATTATGGGTGGGAGGGCGTTGTGTGAGATGAGACTATTTACAGTTTTCACTCTTTCATTTGCTGTGAAATTTTATTTCTTTCATTTTTTTTTTTTTGAACTTGTCAGGTGAATTTGCTAGCTCAAATGTTTAGCCTATCAGGTATCAAAGGAGATTATTTAACTTGTGACTGAGCTCTTGTGACACCTGTTTTGTTTCTGTCTCCAACAGTTCATGCACCTTTTCTGTATTTTTTATAAAAAAAAAGGCACTTGGTTAACAAGGATGTGTCATTTCAAACACATCCGTGCATCCAGTTTATGTCAACATCTGGTACCTGAACGCAGCATGTTGCCCCAAACTAGACATCAGATGAATCTGACACATCCTTTTTAAGAGTGTGCGCCTAAAACAAACAAAACAAAGCTGTAATTTGGAGCATACTGAAGGATGACCGGCATGGACAGATAAACAGACTGGCGTGAATACCCTGGACACAATGTTCTAGTGACTGGCGAACATACAGTAGGATATAACGTATATGATATGATATAATATGACATTCTGGTTAATGTTGAAGCGACATGAGAAGCATGAAAGGCTGTCGAAATGGTTTACTCTACAATATAATATTGCAAAATATTTTGTATTTTAAATGAAGTTTAAAAAAACGAAATAAATGTTGGTTTCAGGATTTCACATTGGTTCTGTTTGTCTCTGTGGTCATGTGTGCAGCATGCAAAAGTGAGTGTGTGGCTCCACCTAGTGTACAAAAAATTAATCTCTGTCAAATCACCCCACTGAGATAAAACACCAGAAGTTGATCCTTGGAGGATTAACATACATTTTGTGTGTGTGCACATGCGCGTTGTCTTTTATTCTCATACTGGAAGAGCTTTACTGTAGTTTTCCAAATGGTGTCTCTCCAAAAGGACAACCAATCATACAGAGAAGGCCCTTCAATGGTGTGTTGGCCAGAGAACTCTCTTGTAACTCATTCAGATTGCCATCACATACACGTTATCTTAAAAATTGGGGCCATCTGCTATATATGCCGTTGTAAAGGCAAATCCATTTCAGTCATGGTTTCTTTTTTTTTGTGAAAGAATCAGACAATCTATTCTATCAATCACAAAAAATATTTAATGGAATGAATACTTATTTCATTTGGTATTTCTGTCATATACACTTGTGTGTCTGATTGTTGAGTGCGATGTTGTTGAATGTCAAGTCATAGCTACCATAGATGCAAAATCTTGCACCAGGGCCCATCATAACAACATGCACTGGGGCCCATCCTAACTACAATACACCACTGCTTGTTACCATTCCTACAGCAGTGTCTCTTTGGCTTAAGACTGTTTAACAAGCTTGTTTCAAGGTGGGCTGTCACATGACAGAAATACCACTATATTGTGATAATCCGGACAGCGATGAAGATTATTTTCTCAATTTTGAGAAACCACAATAAGCTAAATGGCAAAGTGTACACTAACTTCTATTTGACCGTTGCATGTGCAAATAAAGTGTGTACTGGCCCAGTGCAAAGGTGCACTCAAATCATATTAATTTCACCCATAACTGCTGTGTGGACTCTGTCATTAATAATAGATTGATCTGAAGGACATTTCTGATGCACAGCACATGGTGGAGAGAACTCCATGAACTGTAGTCTAGGAACATTGTCTGTGTTTTTTAGTCATATATTCTTATGTCTTAACTCTTGTAATATACCTTAATATTCCTTTAAGTGTGTATGGGCACAGTGGCTTATGGTGATTATCACATTTGCTGTTTTTTTTAAATCAAATAATAAGGATTACAGTAATCCCATAACATTCTATGCTGTTACCATTTCCCATATTATTTCCTGGTCTGGGATGCGCAGAAGCATGATGCCCGCATCCCTCCCATCCTCTCTCTCTCGTGGACCAATCGCATCCTCATCCTCGCTGCCACCCAGAGGTGCCACTCAGCCGCTTTCCTCCAATAGAAAAGTTGAGCTGAACGGGACGCTCCGGCGGGTGAGCTGTGGGGCGCTGCGGTTTGGGTCCAGGTGTGCCATGAGGACAGTGTAGCCTACTGAAATTTTGCCATTCAGCCTGAAAGGTAAGACCCGACACCACATGCGAGTGTGTGCATGCCCGAACTGGCTCTTGTGTCTGGACTTTAGTGGGGATGGAGTGGCATATGTAGAGCTGAAATGGACCGGCACAGGAGTACCGCAATGCAGAGCAGTGCAGTGCCGGTGCCGCTCAGTCGTCATAGGGGTGAAGTGATGTAAGGAGCTGCGCAGCTACTTTTTTTTTATGGGAAGGACTGCGACAAAGTGTTGGATGAAAGGTCGTTTTAGCTTCTCACTCTGCACCTAAGATAAGAAAGTGCGACTCTGTGGATGCAGAGAGGAGGCAAGGTGAAAATGTGAGACTCTGTGTGCGTCAAGGGCGCAGTGAGCTTATGGATGTAGCATGGCATCTGTTTGTAAAGGGCACACTGTCCTTCATGGGCGAGGGGGCAACTCCCTTAACAAATCACTGTTTAAAGATTGTTTTGTGGACTGTGCTGTCATGACGTCAGAGCTTGTCAAATATTGCAAATTAAAGTCCTTTGACAATCAGTTACTTTTCTCTCCATGACAGACAAATGCAAAATGCATGAGAGTCCAAGAACAGTCCAGCCCCCCCACCCCCCAAGGAGGGTTTAAGCATACTGTCATGGCTGCAAGATGTTCAGGGGAAGTGAATTAATTCTCCTAACATCCTCAACATGAGGCCTGATTTCTTTTCCTGCCTTTATTTTTGACATATTCAACCTTCTGTGATGCACAACAGAAACCCAGAGCCAGCACTCAAACTAAATAAAAGCAGCCAGATTTAATCAACTCGCCACTATAGCCCAGAAAACTCCAGATGGTAATGGCATCATTGAGATATCCTTTTGTTTAATTTCAATATGACTTTGACAGTGATTTCCTGCAGCCATAAAACAAACATGGGTACTCAGGCGGTCACTGAAACACTGGGCTTAATGCTGACCTAAATTTCGCTGGTCTGTCCAAAGAGGATCTGTGATGGGATTATCGCCAGGGGAAACACATGAAAACACACTCTGAAGAACTGATTAGAATTAGTAGTGGAACAGATTGTTGCCGCCATAGAGGCAAAATTAAATATAGAAGTGTTTGCAATGACTCATCCATATGTAGGATCTTACAGATGCAGAAGAGGTGTTGCTTTCACTTTATCTGAAGCTGTGCAGATGCAGCATAGATGCAGTTGGGATATTAATGTTGAGTCATCAAGAGTGCACACAAGGAGTCAGTGCTGCAGTCTGCATGTGGATGCGCTGTATACTGGGTGTATACCTCCGCTCAGTCTGTCTCTCTCTCTCTCCATTTCTGGGTGATGCAGACAAGTGTGGCTGCTGAGGCACATGGGGGAGGCTTTTTCTTCCTATATCATGCGTTCCTATTCTTCTCATATCTAGAATGACTCAGTAAAAATCAGTGATTCTGGTTAGCTGTTAGCTAGAAGGATGTTCATTTGGTGTCAATATTTACCTCAACAACTTACCTTCAGACAGGTTCTCCACCTTTTCTTTAAGACGTAACCCTATCAGTTGAACTCAAGTAGCATACCCCTCCACCAACACCACCCATCAGGGTCCAAATGTGTTCAGACTGGATGTTAAATACTATTGACAGTATTTTTTTCGTAGTGTTAACAACATTGTTACAGTAATTTTTCATACTATTAAATACCGGTGTTTTGGTCAGTTTGGTTAAGTTTGATTTGTGACAGTGGCAGACACTAAATGTGAAGTTACATTTAGCTAACTATTTCAACTAGGGGTGGGCGATATGGCCCTAAAATAATATCATGATATTTCAGGGTATTTTTGTGATAACGATATTCTTGATATTACAAATTAGTGGGGAAAAAAGTTATATAAATTTAAGAAAATAGAATATGATATAGTTTTACATGTCTGTCTAACAATTTGCCTTCAAATATTCAGGAAAAACTAAACAAAAATGACCTGATTTCTACAGTTTGTAAACAACAACAGTAACATTGAGTGAGATTCAGATTCAACAAAATAAAATCTACCACAAATTACACATTTAAACAGCTCCCAAATACAAAAAAAACGTCCCTGGGATATATATACATATATTTTAACAGACGATTTATATGCTCTGCCATTTCTTCTCTAATCATCACGCTGTAACCTGTGACAAGCTGTTATGATACCACAACTATTGCACATTCACATATATGTAGTTTTTTTGTCGAGCTGCGAGCGTCACACAGGTTTACATTACCAAAGGTTTATGACAAAATCACTTGACGACACAGCTGTGTGCGCATGGCGAGACAGGAGAGGGAGAGACGCTGTGCTGCTGCCAGAGGAGCCACTGACTGAGTTCCCTCTGAGTCTGAGAAGTCCCGGGCTGTTCATAAAACATTCAGGGCGCCACAGTTTATTCCTCACTGCTGAAGCTGCTCCTCTATTTGAAACCACCATAGAGTCAGCAATAATTTCACTTTCAGCCATGTTTGTTGTTGCCATGGGTAACAGCATGAGGTCAATGTGTCAACAAGCTGAAATATCGCAAGTATCACAATATGAAATTTTCATTTGCTATTAAAAAGTTATACCAGTGTTATCATGAATGAGATGATATGGCACACTCCTAATTTCAACTGCATATCTGTTATTATACAATGTCTGGAAATGTGAATTGTGCATGATATATAAATAACTTAGAATCACACATCACTCTGAGCTGTTTCTTCCTCTCCCCATGACTCCGTCTTGTTACAAGTCTCCAGCAGCGTAGACACATGAGGTTGACTTCACTGTTTCACAGTGCAATGAATCAGACAATTTGGAACTGGTTGTTCATTCCCATCTGTAACTTTCAGTTAGCTCTTTCAGCCATTTCTCCATGACTGATAGTTAGCTATTTTATTAGCTTACAGTTTAGACTGCTCTGATTGCTTGCTAACTACTTTTCACGCTCTATCAAGTACAACACATTGAGTATAGTTTACAACTGACTATATGTATATATGTCTAGTCAAACTGTTATTTACATTTTTTTCAGTAGCTGAACTGAAACAGTGTCATTTTGCTTAGAAATAGTGATTTTTTTTTAATAATAAGCATGTTTTGCTACATCAATATACTATTACAATATGGCATTTATTTATCAGAATACATTTCTAAGAGAAGATTGCTTTCTGACTTACTGTTCCTAATCTCATCCCTTTGACTTGTGACACTGTAGGAAGATTATTGTCAGATGAAGCCTGAGAGCTTTAAGCTCCATGTTTAGCATAAAGGTTTAGTTCCAAGGTCTGAGATGCGTCCTCATCAATGAACAACACCCCAAGAAAAGAGTGTAGAACACGAGTGTTTCACGTATTCAGCCCATGAAGGCTAAGTGGTTCCAGGTTTTACTTCATGTACAATGCTGCTTCAGAGGTTTTTCACCCTGAGCAGAATACAGAAAACTATTAATAATTATTAGAGTAGTCATATTTAAAAATATTGAACATTGTGCAACATTTTGTCAATTGGCAGCTTCAGTGCAAAAGAATCTTTGTCAGACTTCCATCTGAAAAAAAAAAGTGGTGGCAAAATCGGTACAGCGTAGCATCGCAGTATTTTTGTGTCATCACACAGTGCCAAGTATCAGTTTTTTACTATAATTAGGGATCGACTGATATGTTTATTTTCAGAGCCGATACCGATTATTATGACACAGAGATACCAATAGCTGATATTTACAGCCGATATATGTCTGAGGTAAAAATCATAGTTGACACAGAATTAAAAAAATAAACACTCACAAAGCACTACATTCAAATGCAGTTAAGCATATATTTATTCTGAGAACTTTTCCAATTAAACAGTACAGTGAAAAAACATAGTATAGTATGTAATTTAAAAGCAATAAAAAAACAAAAATATAAAATATAAATATAAAATAAAATAAAAAAATAAAATAAAATAAAATAAAATAAAGGAGAGCTCAATTAAAAGCCAGGCTAAAAAGTAAGGTCTTGAGTTTGCTTTTGAGAGCCTAGAGTGGTACGTGCAGGCAGTGAGAAGCATGCCAGGGGCAAAACAGCGCAGCTAAGGAAAACAAAACTGTATATCGGGATATCGGTGGAAAAAATTACAGATACCAATAGTCCTAAAAATTCATAATATCGGCCCCGATAATCAACCAGGCCAAATATCTGTCGACCCCTAATTATAATATAGAGTAAAACTTAAGGTAGCCAACTAAAATAATATAATGTTCATGTTTGTTTTTGTTTGTTGATGTTTTTGTTATGTCTTGCTGTGCGTCGTAACCTTTATGTCTTGTTTTCAGGAATCTGTGTTGCTGCCTTTCTTGGCCAGGATTCTATTGTAAAAGAGATTTTAATCTCAATGAGTCTTAAATAAAGGTTAAAAACAAATAAATTAATTAATTGCTTTTTCAGTCCACTAGATACATTTTGCAGCTGCAAAAAAAGGCTTAAGTGAGATGAACAGAGTGAAAACTTTCTCTTATTAGATAAAACAGATGTTGACAAAGTTTACCTTTGGCGACATAATTTACAGTTCAAAAAAGGTAATTAATCGCAATATATCGCAATATATTTTATCGCAATACTCAGCATATCTCAACATGTAAAAAAATCACGATAATATTGTATTGTGACCTAAGTATCGTGATAATATCGTATCGTGGATCCTCTTGTGATTCCCATCCCTACCATCTCGTAGCCTTTTTAATTTATTTATCTGCATTCATATACAGATATCAGCCAAAGTGACCAGCACACAGAAGAAGTCTTGGCCTGCTGCACTGGAGCCTCAGAAATATTGGCTTTTGCCCTTGGAGGCTACAGTATATCGTTGTCGGAGTGATAGCGGACAGGTTTCGACTGTGATTCCAGACTATTAAGCTTGTACACACTGTACACTACAACAGCATAAAAGATGTATAAAGATTTTTCCCTGGTGCTGCAGTGTGTTCTGTAAAACACTGGAAGCTTAACGAGTGCACATAAAAAGATCAAGCCCTCCCCCACTTCATCCCATCCTGGTCATCTTTATCAATCCTGGGTTCATCCTGCTTTATATCTCCATGTTCCTCCCCCAGCTGTTCCTCTGTCTTAATATCTCTGTCTCTCCCAGTGTTTCCTGTTTGACGGTGAGACTGGAAACACTGCAGTTGCTCACAGCGATGCTGCTTTCTCATCCTGCAGAAGTGATGTGTAAGCATGTGTTACTGTGATGGCACAGAAGGAGGTGTCTAAATACTGCAGTGCTACCTTGTGTTTTGTTGACAGACAGCCCTGGTGTATCAGTGTGAACACACACACACACACACACACAAACACACACACACACACACACACACAGTACAGGCCTGTGTCTCTGCAGGTGCTTGCGGATATGCACGCACTCCGCATGTCTATTTGCAGCGTTCTGCTGAGTCATTCTCAACCTGAATCATTTATATGCACAAGGAGGATTCTAACTAGATCTGCACTCTGCTTTGGTGAGGAAGATCATGCAGGGTCATCAGTCTGGTCTTACATCTGTAGGGACACATAAGTGATTCAATAAAACACACTGAGGGACGATCATGTTAAACAAAATACTTATGTTGTAATTAAAATTAATTATTTTTGCTCCCTCCTCAGCTCTTTCCAGTTCATGTCCTGTCCGTCCACTGCTGGTTCGTGTCCCTCTGCCCATCCGCCTAACTCACGTGGTTGCAATAACTCGGTTTGTTGACCGTCATGGCTTCTGCTGCTTTGCTGCTCCTGGCCCTCTCCTCCTCTGTCTCCCTCACAGGTAGGAGGCACAGTGATGCCTGAAGATACACCGCCACACCCCCTTAAATTAAGTCACATGTAAACACTGCACGCCATGAGCTTACATGACCATGTTTCTGCTTTGTAGTGGCGGTCCTGTTTGGCGAACCCAGAATTTTTGGAGGTGAGTTTCTTGGAATTGTTGTCTGTAAAGTCAGGACAGAAACAGGCCATGCTGCACGTCCATCAGTTTTCCATGTCATCAGCTAATTGTAATGTTACATTTGTCAGATGATGCTACTGGATATGGCCCCATCTTTGAGGAGGAGCCTGTGGATGTGGTCTACATGGAGGACTCACCCGATGGGAGAATCTCCATGAACTGCAGGGCACGAGCGAACCCACCAGCTTCATACAGGTTACACACTATAAAGACTAAATTCATATGGTAGTACCAGATATAATGTGGTAGGACATGGTGTGGGTTGGCATCTTCTCCCTTCCGTCCTGCAACATTCAGTAGTAGCTCCTGCCACTTATACTCAGGTTGTCATTGTGGACTACAGCTCTGCTTTTAACGTTCTTACCTACAAAACTTTTTCAAAAATTATGTCAACTAGGAGATAATCACTCTTTATGTCATTGGATTCTTGGCTGTCTACAGCAGTGGTAGGGTTGATTTCAAGCAATAATGAATCAGCCCGCAGACATGAGGTCTTGTCGCTGGTCGACTGGTGCTCTCTCTACAAATTTAATGTTTCCAAAACTAAAGGGCCTGGTGGTTGACTTTCGGAGAGATGTAAAGGCTCTCCAGCCACGGACTGTTAATGGCCTAAAAAGAGCCTTAAAGGAGCAGTGTGTAAGATGTAGGGGGAGATAGTGGCATCTAGTGGTGAGGATTGCACACTGCAACCAGCTTAAACTTCTCAAGGTTAGAATTTCTCCAGTGTTCATTGTTCAAATTCAAGTTTTTACTGCGAGATATATTATCCGCAGAGGTCTCCTATTCTCCAAAACAAACAGTCCAGGTGATGTCCGTAGATGAGGAACCGCTCCCTATCTAGATACAAACAGCTCATTCTAAGCTAGCAAAAACACAAAGATTCTTGTTGGTGAAGATTCTCAGTCATCCAGGTCATGGTAATCGTAAGTGCTATATCGTAGGACTTGCTTGCATTTCTTGAAGACGTTTCGCCTCTCATCCAAGAAGCCTCTTCAGTTCGAAATGACTAGCACAAAGTTGCAGGCTATAAACCCTGTGTGGGTGGGAACCCTTGCAGAGTCGTAGGGGTCACGTGAGCTCTTAGTTATAGAGCCGTCGATTCTTATTTTCAGGGGATTATACACAAACGAAAACCTACTTATTATATTATATTCAATATCTGCCAATATATCCCCCCAAATCCTTCGCACTGGACCTTTAAGTTCCTCGGACCAACTATCTCCTCTCTGAAATGGGATGACAATTCAATTTCTACAATCAAAAAAGCCCACCAAAGACTCTTCTTCCTGTGCCAGCTTAAAGTGTTCAGGGTGTCCAGAGAGGGGAAGCTGCAGCTCTACAGAGCAATGATAGAAACTGTTCTCACCCTCTCTGTATCTGTATGGTGTGGTGACTCCACAGTTCAGCAGAGAAGGCAGCTCCGCCTCAAAAATCATCAGCTGCAACCCCCCCTATACTACAGCAGTCTGGCAACCTCCTTGTAATAACTCTCGCCTCAGGAAAAAGTCTCAGGGCCATTAAAACCAAGACATCCTGTTTCCTCAACTGCAGAACCATAATGGCTCCCCAATTCTGCACTAGCACTTTGCACGAGTAAACCACTAATACTGTACTTTAAAGCACCCGACACTTTATTGTGTTTTATGGTTTTTGGAGTTATGTATTATGTGTTTTTATTTCTTCTTATGTATCTTGACTGCTATGCTATGATTGGTTCTTGCACTGTCAATAAGCACACTTAGGCAAATTCCCAACAGTCTTGAATCTTGAAACTTGTATTGTACCACTGCTAGGTGGCGCCGTGATAACTGGGAAATCAAGCTGATGGAGCAGCCAGACGAGCACTACAGCCTCGTGGGGGGGAACCTGGTGATCACCAACCCCAGACAGAAGAAACACGCTGGGACGTACGTCTGCGTGGCCAAGAACATCTATGGCACCGTCATCAGCAAGGAGGCCAGGGTCAAGTTTGGATGTGAGTCACACATTCCCTCCTTGTTTCATGTTTGAGTTGCCATTTTTATGTTCAATTCTCCTATTCCATCATTCATAACTCCTGATTATCTTTTTTAATCTTCTCATCTGCATGTAGTTGTGGAGGAGTTTCCCCAGGAGGAAAGAGACCCAGTGTAAGTCAAAGAAGGACAGGGCGCTGTTCTGCTATGCGCCCCTCCAAAAGCTTGGCCACGTAAGTACGGGTCTTCACACCCTCATTAGAAAAGCCAGTCAAATGGAGATAACAATAATTACTCTGTCTTCCATTTTTCAGAGGAGGTGACCTACCGCTGGATCTACAACGAGTTCCCGGTTTTCCTGTACACAGACCGCCGTCGGTTTGTCTCCCAGAAGACGGGGAACCTGTACATCTCCAAAGTGGAAGCTCAGGATGCAGGAAACTACTCCTGCTTTGTTTCCAGCCCGATCATTGGGAAGAGTGTCTTCTCAAAGTTCATCCCACTCATCCCCTTACCTCCTGACGATGGTTAGCAAATAATAGCTGTGAAAAAATATAATCGTCTACTAACAAATGTTGCAGAACAGAGTTTAGAAAAACAGGCACACAATATTGTCGTGTTCATGATCCGAGACCTTGAACATTTTGGATTTAATTTACTTTTTTTTTTGCTTCAGGTGAGGAGAGAAAGTACCCAGCAGACATCAGGGTGAAGTTCCCAGATACCACTGCCTTGCTGGCCTCTAATATTACACTGGAGTGCTTTGCTCTGGGAAAGTATGTTTTTATTTTTGTGCTCGGTCAAAGAACTGAATTCATTAAAAAAATGGGCTCATGGGATATACAGTATGCTTCCACATAGTCATTGGTTTAGTTTCTCTGTCTTTTCAGCCCCATCCCTCATATTGTTTGGAGGAAGGTGGACGCCACAGACCTCCCAGCGAATCATGAGATTAGTGAGTCAGGAGCTGTGCTTCATCTGTACAATGTACAGTACGAAGATGTGGGAGGATACGAGTGTGAAGCCATCAACACCAAAGGAAAGGACTGGCACAAGGCTTGGCTGTATGTGGAGTGTAAGTGGGTTTCAATGTAGAGTGTACTTTAAGAAACATTCAAGTGTAAGCCTTAGTATAGAGATTATTTCTTACAGTTGAACTAGTGGTGTTCTTAGGTTGCTTTCAGACCTAGGGTTGTCTTGCTTTGGTCTGAATCAATGACTATGCTACGCTATGTCATTCACTTTCTCCCTACATCCCCCATATGTCTTACAAACATGCATATGTGTGACGATACTAGTTCCCTGGGAGGCGTTTCAGGGCAGAGATGTCTTCACACTGATGTCAGATATGCATTGCTTCAAACATGAATTTGAACCATCTGGGCACAAATCAGAATCGAGCATTAAGCCCTGTAATGTGAACGTAGCCTTGGACAGCAACAGTGCGTACATCTAAATATTGTGTTGCATATAATGACTTTCATGCCCGTTTTGTTTGTTCAGCTGCTCCAGAGTGGGCAGAAACCATCAACAACACTCAGATTGACATCGGCTCAGAGCACACCATGCGCTGTGTGGCATCAGGGAAGCCCTTCCCTTTCATTCGCTGGTACAAAGATGGATATATGGTAAAAAAAATTCATTTTGTTGCCTGCCATTAAAGAAGTTGGGGAGTACATGGTATCAGCTTAACATCTGGGTTGTGTGTGCGTGTTTTCCAGTATGGGAAGGGGGAGTTGAAGTTTTCCAGTCTCACTTTTGATGACTCAGGAATGTACCAGTGTATTGCTGAGAACTACTGGGGCATCAAGTACGCCAACGCTGAGCTGCGAGTCATCGGTGAGCCCTTTCAATAAACAGTGCTCTTACTGCCTTATTATATTAGGAAGCACAATTGATTCTTCAGTAAGTCCTATCTATCTATCTATCTATCTATCTATCTATCTATCTATCTATCTGTCTGTCTGTCTGTCTGTCTATCTATCTATGAATGACTGAAAAATATTCTAAAGGACAGAACAATTTATTTGTCGGTGGAGTATTGTGAAAGAGGAAGACATTAAAACTGAGAAGAGCTACAGAGAGGAACAACAATGTTCTTGCACAGCAGGTAGCTCATTGTTTTTCGCTAACATTTAGTTATGACTATCTGTAGCTTTCATTATCAATTTGTTTAAAACACAAACAGCTTCAAATGGTATAAGACTACCTAACTAACAACATAAATGTAAGTCATTTACAAAGAATATTTGACTGTATTTGGTAGCAAACATGCTAAGCTAGCTAACCTTAGTTACCTTGGAGCATACAAAGGAGTTGGTCTTCAGTGGATGCAGTTGTAAGTGAGGTCTTCCTCACAGTTTGATACATATCCAAAGTTCAACTCTTGTGTTTTTGGCCTCGGAAAAGCAAAAAAGAAAACAAAAAATCCCCCTCCAAACTTTGGGCATATCTGCTGTCAGACTTGCAGGTTCTATATACACACCATCTCTTGTTGAGTTTGACAGGCCACCCGTGCCTAATTACGGTTGCTAATTTAGGACTGGACGGTGGCCATCCAAGGGACGGACTTAGTTAAGGGTCACTTGTGTGCAACAGTTTCGAAGACCAAAGGCTGATGAAAGACAAGCTGTTCAAACAGAAGATGTCATGACATTCAGGATAAATCGACTAAACATGAATTCACACTTTATAATCTCCCCTCAGCCTGTGCTCCTACATTTGAGTTGAACCCTGTGAAGAAGCAGCTTCTTGGAGCCAAAGATGGCCGTGTAGTAATCGAGTGTAAACCCCGAGCTGCTCCGAGACCACGGTTCACCTGGACAAAGGGCAAAGAGCTGCTCTTCAATAATTCCCGGTCAGTCAGCATTAGCAATAAACAGTGGACTGTAGCACTGGAATGCCCTCCCAACCATCCGCTGTCAAGCAGCTTCGCTAAATAACCATTGTCATTTTTAGGATTTCCATTCTGTATGATGGGAGTCTGGAGATCCTCAATGCAACCATCAATGATGAGGGGGTATACACCTGCTTTGCCGAGAATGACAGAGGAAAGGCCAACAGCTCTGGCACTCTCACCATCACAGGTCCGTGAACATGTGCATATGTTTGTGTGCATATTCAAATACAGAAAACATTAACAGTTTTAATGTATCATTTCCCTAGAGGCGACCATCATCACAGAACCTCCTGAAGACTCTGAGGTGCAGGTCGGCGATGAGGTGATTCTGAATTGTGCTGCTTCATACGACCCCATGCTGGACATTACCTTCATCTGGGCCATAGACTTCAGGGTCATTGACTTTGATGCTGAATGGACACACTACGAACGTGTTATGGTAGGGTGATGGTTCATCCGAGCCTCCGTTATCATCTCACACCCACAGCTGATCACTTAACAACCACTGATATTGTCAGCTAATGTTTCCTGTCCTCACTCTTTCCCTTCATTTTTTATCTCCTTGTTTTCTCTTCTTCTTGTTCAGAGTGAAGATGGCAGAGGTGACCTGAGAATAAAGAATTCCCAGATTTGGCACGAAGGTCGCTACACCTGCACGGCTCAGACAGTGGTGGACAGCGATATTGCATATGCTGACCTCAAGGTTGTAGGTCAGTTCTATCACGTTTTACCTCGAATGATCATGGATGCCGAGCTTAATGATGCCTGAGCACAAAAGTGCTCAAAGTGCAAAACCTAATGTTTGTGTAGAGATTATTTTTCTGCTGCGCCACTGCTTTTTTGAGGGGTGCTTAAAAACTCACAAGATTTGGCACATGTATCTGAAAAACTGATTTTTGATGGGTCTCGTACTTGGGTGTGACAAAATTTCAACAAAGTAGCCTTCTTGGTACATTTTACCTAGATGTATGAAAACTGAAGGGCACATGTGACATCCAAAGACTTAAAAAAAAGTCTCTTGGAGCAATATCCTAACTCCAACAGGAAGTCAGCAATTTTGAATTAACTGTGCACTCTTAGTGTTGAGGCTTATATTTTAACAAACCAGTGGTAGAGATGTCACCAAATTTGCACTGTGCCATCGAAACACCTTTCTGATGAAAAGTTGTTGAAATTTGATAGATGCAGTGGCAAGGGGTCGAATTAACATGTTTCACCACAAAATGGGAAATAGTTTGTAACTTGCCTGCATGGTCAAATCTGCACCATACACACCATACACATTCGACAAAAGTCCTGGCCTAAAGACATCTACGTGCCAATATTTGCAATATTTGATTATAGTCATAGCACCACCTTGTGGCAACAGGAAATTACGTTTTCTTCTTAAACAAACTCGTAGAAGATTCATCAAATCAACAAAAAAATAGTCAACACAATCTTAAGACCCTACTGATGAAAGGTTGCTAGAAATATGTATTTTGCCGTAACAGAAAGTTGTTGTAAATTGAGTGTACATTGTCCAATCCTCTCCAGATTAAACATGCTTAAGAAGAGTCCTGCCTGAGGACATCTTCATGCCAATATTGAGTCAAAGTAATTCTGCCACCTACTGGCAAAATGTGGGCCTTGTGTGACAAACATTTGATTTACGTAAATTTTATTTTTTAATTTTAATTTCTAAGTCTTGCGTGTAAATATATGGTAGCTTCAACTGCTGTCTTGCCAGCACACCCAACATTCAGCTCTACTTGTAGCTTAAATTTTTGATTTTAATTTACCTTTCTTTGTGTGGTTGATAACCTGAGCAAATTTACATTATAAGAATAGATCATAAACAATGTACCTTCTTTTCTTTCCCCTCTCCTCCCTGATCCAGGTGTTCCTGGGCCTCCTGGTGTGATCAGGATAGAAGAGATTGGGGACACGTGGGTGAGGCTGTTGTGGACTAAAGGAGCAGAGCATAACAGCCCCATTCTCTTCTACACCATTCAGACCAGACACTACTGGGCACTTAATGAAGACGACTGGAGGGACGCCAGCACCAGTTAGTACTTCTCACTGCCAGTAGGGGGCCAACTTGCTTTGAACTGACCATTCTGACCTTATGTGATTTGATTGCTTCAGTCTGCAAGTAAAATGTACTTACACGTTGTTGATAGGATTGCCTGATTGTATTGGACCAGCACAATGCAATGTGTCATGCCATCTGTATCTCCTTCAGCTCCAGCTGTTCTTGACGGCAATGCAGAGAGGGCTGATGTGACAGACCTGTACCCCTGGATGGAGTATCAGTTCAGGATCTTCGCCACGAATGAGTATGGCGCCGGAGAGGCCAGCATCCCCTCCCTCAAGATCAAAACTTGGGATGCTCGTAAGAAGAGAATATTAATACCTTGACATATATTTTAGTCAGTACAGATTTGGTGCAAAAAGAAAAAAACTTTTGACCTTTCTTCTTCTTAGAACCGGTGGTATCTCCTACTGATGTGGCAGGGTATGGAGGTAGAAATGGCGAGATTGTCATCACATGGACTGTAAGTAAGCCCTTAGTTCATGTGACTCATTTTTTACCAAAAATAGCACTCACCCCTGCGTTAAGAAAAATCTAAGAGGTGTTTTTTTTCTCCTTTCCTATCCACTCCTGACCCCTTAGCCCGTACAACCGTGGTACTTCTATGGCAAAAAGTTTGGCTACATTGTGGCATTTAAGCCTCACGATGCTTATGACTGGTGGTACGAGACCATCTCAGACCCCGAGACCAGGCGTTACGTTCACAGGGACTCCTACTTTATTCCCACTGATGAAGACTTCCAAGTCAGAGAGTTTCAGGTGAAGATCAAGTCGTTTAATGTGAAAGGAGACGGACCGTACAGCCTCACCAAAGTCATCTACTACCCAAGAGATGGTGAGGATTTGTTTTTTTGGTTTGGTTTCAGTTGTGGGTGACACTAAACTTACAGTTAAACTTAGCTGACCAACAGTTTTTCTTTTCTCAACCATTTGTCTCCAGTACCTACAGAGGCTCCGACAGATGTCTATGCCAGACCGGTGTCCTCCACTGAAGCTCTGGTGTGGTGGTTGCCAGTGGTCGACACTGGAACAGGCCTGCAGCAGTACATTGAGGGATACCAGGTACATAGCTTCGACTGTACAAGTTACATACAGAAGATTTGTCTCAAAAACTTAAGGTGTACACAAAGACATATGAAAATAGAATAGACAGACAATTTTTCTGTTAAGTATTTCAGGAGTAATTGCTGTGAGCAGTCCTCAGATAAATGAAGGGACCACAATGAAATGTTTGGGTTATATTGTCAAGGAATAGTGGTAAGAATAAATTCCAACCGCTTATTCTGTGTCTCTTCCTATTTTGGCAGTCCAAACAAGGGTAATTTGTGGTTGCAGTGAAAAAAGCAGCATCTCCTTGACATGGGGATAAAAGTTCAAACTCTTCACAAGATGTAGTGCTTTTTATTATTCTAGGTTGTTTTGTTGTGAGTTGCAGAGTGTTGGAGATATCGGCTGTAGAGATGTCTGCCTTCTTTCAAATATAATGGAACTAGATGACACTCAGCTTGTGGTGCTCAAAGTACCAAAAAATACATTTAAAAAAACTCATCAGCAATGTCTCTTTCCAGAAATCATGATCCAGTTACTCAAGATAATCCACAGACCTTGCTGTGAACTATTTTCTTTCTACCAAACTACACCCACCAACTGCGCCACAATGCAGAAGGAAATGTCTATATACTGCTAACTCATCTAGCACCACTTAGCTAGCTACAGTTACAGCTCAGCCGAGGAGTTACATGGTAACACATGTTCCTACCACATTCTCAACACATTCTGGCCTTGATGTCAATATTAGCTAGCGGTGTGATTAAAATTTGACAGACGACTGACAGATGTCTTATTTAAAAAAATGTCCTCTCCTAACCAGGTCAAATACTGGCGAAAGTACGATGACCCAGAGCCGGGAGCAAACCGTATATTTGTTTCAGCCTCTGTCAACCAGACCAGGTTGGAGAACATGCTGCCAGACTCGCACTACCTCATTGAGGTCCGTGCTTTCAATGGAGCCGGCCTCGGACCCCCTGGTGAACACTGTGAGATGTTCACAAAGAGGCCACGTGAGACGAATAACTCACAATCTATGAACAATAAGCATGTGCAATGAGAGTTATTCTATAGATGTGGTCTTGTTTATTCATTGATTTTTTTTTTTTTGTCTACAGCACCACCAGATCCTCCCAGGATGTGGCGCTATGTTACCTGGACAGGACAGTGGTTGTATGTGTGGTGGGATCATATCCAGTATGACTGGTTTGGCAATATTTCCTTCCCACTCTACTACAAGGTGAGTGTGTAAAGCTTTTGCAAAGCTACTATTAAGCCTGATAATAGGGTGAATTCGGGGAATGTTGGACACTTTTTGGTGTATGCCGCAGCACATCTAAACCTCACTCCAGTGATGTTTCTTTAAATCTTTTCAGGCCTTTATAACATTTTTATGATGGAATCAAATGGGAATAAACCGTCTTTTAGAAGCTACCTCACTCAGGCAGCTTCTTCAGACTGTGTATAAAGATGAACTCAATGTCCTGCTTTTTGTTTTCAAGGTCATGTTCAGAAAGACTGGCTACATCTATGGGAAAGTCTACATCACTGGCTGGCACTTCATGGACTTCCCCATGCCTCAGACTGGAGACTATGAGCTGATGGTACGTGGCCGTTATGAAGGAGGGGATGGCCCAATCAGAATGATCAGCATTAAGGGTAAGGCTAAAACATATCTATGAGAATATTTTTTTGTCCTCTTGGTACATTTGTCTCATGTTCTTTATGCTTCCTCAGGTAAAGTATCGGTGATCACGCCCACTCTAAGCCTGGTGTCTTTGGTGCTGCTGGAGCTGTGCATCGCGGGACTGCAAATTTAAGGCCTGCCACAAGTGACATGTATATAATAAACTCTGGGAAGTCAATCTGTGGATAGAAGAGATCCAGTCTTCACCTCCAAACACTCTTCTCACTGATAGTTAAGATTATACATTGTGTATCTGTTCTGTTGTAACACGACACAGGAAGTTGTTTTTCATATAAAAAAAAAAAAAAAGCATCAAGTGTTGGCCCCGACACTTTTTATGGACTTAATTCATCTTCCAAATGAACAACAGCAGTGAACTGGGTAGGACTCCATTGAGAGGGTTGGAAATGTGCCCCATCAAATCCAGATATTCACTCAAAGTGAAAATGAATGAAGGTGGATGTTATGATTAAACTCTCCACACAGTGTGTTCAGATAGAAATAAAAGCATCCAGAAAAGTCATTTTAAGTTGTTTTCTGAATGTATAAACATTCTATCACTTTTTTATGTCATTTTCCTCTTCCATCATTCAACTTTCTTTGATCATTACTTCCTGTTTGGAGTTGAAATGAGCTGGACGAACATTACCAAGGTAGAATTCAACCCACAGAATGGGACGATGTTATTTATAACAAGCACTATAAATCTCTCAGATGGTCATGCTATGAATATTATGTAAGCAGTGTGATAATCACTGTTTGGTTTGGGACGAGCAGAGTAGGATGACTAAAATGTGTATAGATTTTCTGAACATGTAACTTTTTTGTGGAGCACATTCAGCATATCACATATTTCAAACAAGTGTAGCCTATTCTTCACCGTCATGTTCTCACTTTTGTTCAATATGTTTAGATTCATTTTCTAAATCTTAAATGGTGCTGTGTGACAGGTAGATTCAGAAGATTATCCATATTAATTTAAAATGTCATCCTCACCAGAATCATGTGCATAGTTGAAGTTTGAGTTCTAGCCGCAACGATAAAAAGCCAAAGCCTATCACTTTGACAACTTCCCATTGAATGTTAATTTCTGAAAGTGTAATATTTGAATGTCCCATGAGGCCAGGAGTTGAAGAGAAACTGCTGTATATCACATAAATGGATGCTACTTTTCTTTATGTCAGGCTGCAAAACCATTAAACAGAGTACAAACCATCTTTACTGTCTCATTTGTTGAGTTTTAGTCCGTTTTCAATGAGTCAGTTACAAATGTTCCTTTCAACACATGTTCGTCTCTGATCTCAGAAAAAAACATTATATATATAAACTTTCCTATATATTGGAAAATATTTAATACACCTATCTGTGTTGTAGTACTCCAGATCGGTCTCAACACCACTTTCTGCTTGGTCTTCTCTTGGTCTCACACAAAGAGGACCTGGGATTTTATACTACCGCTGCGGGGATATCACTTAATTTCCTGTGCAATAAAACAGCGCTGAATAAAGACAGTTATGTTGATTTCAGCTTCTTATTGTTTGTTTTTAAATGTTTGCTCATCGAAAACATAAAGACACATTCATTTTCCGTAACCACTTATCCTGTTTGGGGTCACTGGAGCCTATCCCAGCTGACATTGGGTGAGAGGCAGGGTACACCCTGGACAGGTTGCCAGACTATCACAGGGCTGACACATAGAGACAGACAACCATTCACACTCGCATTCACAGAGTCACCATTTATCCTTCCTTGCATGTCTTTGGACTGTGGGAGGAAGCTGAAGTACCATGGGTAGAACATGCAGACTCCTGTATAGAGGGGCACCCTCACCCCAGGTTCGAATGTGGAACCCTCTTGCTGTAAGGCTACAATGCTAACCAATGATAAAGCCCAGTGATAAAGATACAGTATGGCAATAAACAGGGTCCCCACAGTTATGGAAAAGCTGGAAAAATCATGGAATTAGTAAAACCCTTGAAAGTTTTGGAAAATTCATGGAAGTTTGTTGTCTGTAATGGAATTAATTGTTACAGTAATCTATGTATTTAATGTAACATAACAGCAAATATATTTTGATCAGATGTTTACATAATGTAGCTCCAATAAGTCGATGGTTTGTTTACCATCATGTAGGTTTTTTAATTTTCCTCCATGTTCAGTCTCTACCTACATGTATCACATCTAGCTTTAATTACGTTTGAATACAGTTTGAATCTGATGTTTGAATAATGCTGGGCAAGTGGGGAAAGAAAAAAACGTGTGACAGTGTGATTTAACAGTTACGGTCAAGGTTCCCAAAGTTTCAATACCTTTGCCCCACAAATACTTTTAAACTGTACTGCTTTTTTGAGGTAGCGCAACTGATATGGCAGCCTAGGGCTGTCAAAAGGAGCACCAATGCACACTGCAGTTTTGTTGTAATTCCTCTGAAAGTAGAGTGCGGTCGTTTGAAGGTCTGTAGCATTCGCTTTTTTCCAAACAATTAACCAACAAACCAACAGAACTGTCGGCTGTCAGACCCCACTCTGGGACCTCGACTGGTCTGTGTTTACAGATCGCCTATAATATAATTACCATTGGAGTAATTAATGTGCCCCATACTGTTCTACATTGTGAATGGTCATGGAAAACATATTATGGGTCCTTGAAAAGTTCTGTTTTGTCCATAAAATTGTGAGAACCCTGAATCAAAGATTGCACATTTTATCCTTTGACATGCAGTGTGGTCTGGACTGCAACACTGACTGCTACTTCTCTAAAGTGAACTTCAACTTCACCTTCAACTTTATTTTGTCCCTGGAGGGCAAGCAGTTTCACAGCAAGTAAAGTCACACATAAAAAGACATGACAGAACACATAAGAATATAAATACTCAACAAACGGACGGTGGGGAGAATCAAACACAGCAGATACAGAAATAACATTGAATACTGGAATACAGCCATTGCAATGCAAATGAAAAAATCTAAGCAAATTGAATGAGCAAGTCATATTTAGATTCCAGGAAGTATACCTGTTTGAGCTCTCTCAGAACCTGCAAACTGAAAATGTAATGTTTGATTTCAACCAGCAGATGGCAGTATATCTATGTGCCATTTATACCAATGTTCCCAGTACAATTTGGTCCAGTCACTTATCTAGTAGTGTTTATGATTTCTACAGTGATATCATTCAAACTTACATCTGTATAATATGCTACTGTATTGGTTGATATTTCTAATAAGGTTCGCCTGCTATCGCTCATTCCCTGTTCAATGTGGACACTATATCCATCATTTTCTCTAATGGTGTTTCTAAAAAAAACAAGAGGAAAGAGCTTTTTTATGTCTGTGTGCTTTTGTTTGTGCTTTAAAGCGAGCTTCCTTGCATACTGTACAGTAGTCTCTGTGTGGGAGGCTTTTATCTCTCCTGTTTCCACCTCCATTACCAGCAATTCCCCCATTTTACCTCCTTCCCTTCAAACAAATTACCTAGACACAGAAAATCCCATGTGAGGCTGAAATCAATGCTGCCATCATTTACAAACAATCACAGCAGATGCACAAAGGTGAGTCCTCTATGGCAGGGAGTCTTGCTCCAGAGGAGGATATTGAAGAGTCTGTTGCTGTGATACATGGTTCCTCCTGCTTTTATTTACATGCTCTGTGGCTCTTCTGTGGACAATGAACAGCGGCATGCTATGTGTCTTCAGTCTCTGTGGCTTGGACAGCAGTGCTTATGGCATGAAATCTCTCTTTTTTTTTTTCAAATGTTGCATCTCAGAAGGTACATAACGGCGAGTTTGTTTTGCCAGTGTGTCAGAATTTTGTCAGATTTACGGTGAAAGTGAACCTCTGAGCAGGGATTTGCTGTGTCGAATCTCCGTGCCTCTCCTGTGTGAGACATTAAACTCTAGGTTAACTGCAGTAGTGGTAGGCTAAGATGGATGTTACACAGTCAATAACATGGAGGACTGCGTGCATGCAAAACATGAAATGCTGCTGCTAATATGTGACTTTATCAGGATGGATTTATTCCTGGTGGGTCTGATGGATATTTTGCTAAGATATGTGCAGGAAGCACTGCACTCCCTCAGGTCATTACTGTAAATAAGGAAGGTGGTTTGATCAACTTGCCTGATCAAGGATGCATGTGCAAACTAAACTCTGACACTAGCTGTACTATCAGAATAAAATGCATCTGCACAGGGAGGGTGACACTAGGCTCATACAGTGGTTTGTAGCACACTGCGCGGATGCTCTCTTTTGGCTGGCAGGACAGGACAGGGTAAAAGATGTATGTAACAGTTACATATACGTGCCCATGCCCTTAGGGACTGTTAGTTATTTTTGAGGGGGAGGCAAGTCAAATATTTTTTTAAGCACTGGGAAGGGAATTATGTTGTTATTTTGGTTTAGGGGAGGGACAAACAATTCTTAGTGTATACCACCTTCCTATCAAAAGTTATATGCGAACATACCTTCCTGTTTTTGGACCTGACTCCTCGAGTGTTGAGTTCACCTACTTCCCGACGTCCTAGAGCGTTGGGGGGGGTGGGCTCTACTGACGCGGAAGGGCTGAAAATGGGGGGGTAGAGCTTAGTTCCAAAGGTGGTGGTGGTGGTGGTGGTTGTTGTTGTTGTTGTTGTTGTTGTTGTTGTTGTTGTTGTTGTTATTATTATTATTATTATTATTATTATTATTATTAATAATATTATTGGGGCGGCAGTAGCTCAGTCCATAGGGACTTGGGTTGGGAACCGGAGGGCCGCCTGTTCAAGTCCCCGTCCGGACCAAGATATGGAGCTTGGACTGGTGGCTGGAGAGCCACTATCGACGCGGAACCGTCGAAAGTGGGGGCGTAGAGCTTCATTCCAAAAATTATTCGTGAACATACCTTTCCATTTTGGACCTGACTCCTCGGGTGTCGAGTTTTCCCACTGACGTCCAAAAAGGTCGGGGGTGGGCTCGATCGACGCGGAAGAGCTGAAAATGGGGGGACGTAGAGCTTAGTTCCAAAGGTTATTCGCAAAAATACTTTCCCGTTTTTGGACCCAACTCCTCGGTGGTGGAGTTCACCCACTTCCCGATGTCCTAGAAGGTGGGGGGTGGGCTCTATCGACGTGGAAGGGCCGAAAGTGGAGGCATAGAGCGTAGTTTCAAAAGTTATTCACGAACATACCATCCCGTTTTTGGACCTGACTCCTCGAGTGTCAAGTTCATCCACTTCTTGACGTCCAAAAAGGTTGAGGATGGGCTCTATCAACGCGGAAGCGCCGTAAATCGGGGGGTGGAGCTTAGTTCCATCCCTCTATGACCTTCCCATCAAAACTTATTCATGAATATACCTTCCCGTTTTTGGACCTGACTCCTTGAGTGTAGAGTTCACTATAGCCGGAAACTGTAAAAACAGAAATTATTGTAAAATTTTCAAATTTCCGACTGTCCTTAAACACATCAAGTGCGATGAAGGCTTCCATCAGAAAAAAAAACATAATCAAATCTGAGCTTATAATAGCAATAGTCCATCAAAATCACTTTATTCTACTTCTCATTTAAAAACTCAATTGGCAGGTAACACAGTTTCCCTATTTTAGCCATAATTTTAATAGTTGCAACAGTAGCATGGCTACCATTACGTCATTTCTTTATTAGGTGAAGCATAAATTGCTCTGTATAATTTAAAGGGAGCTGACAGACACAATGAATGTTAAAAGGGGAGGTGTAATAAGCTTCAGCCTACACCTTTTCGGTCCAGTTTTTTTTTATTTTTTTTAATTGTTTTTGTTTACCTTTTGTTTATTTTATGCTAAAAAAAAGCATTGACTTAATGTTTATTTTGGAAAATGACCAAAATAAAGTTGGAGAATGACTGAAATAAGCTTAACTAAAAGTGAAAAACATGAAATGGACCTCCAGTTATAGAGTACAGTTTTGACAAATTTGTACTTTACATTAGTATTTGTGCTACTATTAAAATGGTTTTACAACACTACATTTGTTTGACAGATAAGACTTTTTAAAAACAAAAGTTATAACGTGGTTATAAAATGTGTGTATTTTTACGTACGTTTTTATGTATAAAGCAGTTAAAATAAGCTCTAACTACACGTGCTATAAATTAAAACACTGCTTAAAGCATCAGTGGGCCTAATGAAAACCTACTAGTAAAATATATAATGTGGCCATTCCACATAATAAGCACTTGTCCCTGCAAATAAACTCACTGTGTTCCTG